TAAAATGTATTCTCTATGTGTGAAGATTTGTCACCATTGAAGAGATTCAAAAGAATATATAGTGCAGACCGGGCGCGGTGGCTCACGCCTGTAATCCTAGCACTCTGGGAGGCTGAGGCGGGTGGATTGCTTGAGATCAGGAGTTCGAAACCAGCTTGAGCAAGAGCAAAACCCTGTCTCTACTATAAACAGAAATTAGTTGGCCAACTAATATATAAAGAAAAAATTAGCCGGGCATGGTGGCGCATGCCTGTAGTCCCAGCTACATCTCGGTACGCTGAGTCAGGAGGGTCACTTGAGCCAGGAGTATTGAGTTGCTGTGAGCTAGCGCTGCACACCACGGCGGACTCCCTCTAGGCCTGGTCACACCTACAGCAAGAATCTGTCTCAAAAAAAAAAAAAAAAAAAAGAATATAGTGCAAACTCTGAACTATGTTACAGGATGGGATTCCAAGCCACCGTGGTAGGCTGGCTGTCCGAGGCGACCTTATGAGGACAGCGCTTCTTCAGCTGGGCAGGCTTTGCTGTGCTGGTTCCAAGGCTCTGCCCACGCTGGTTCGTCGTGTCTGGTCACACTTCTAGCCTTTCTGCTGCTTTTTTTCTGTGTTTTTTTTTTTTTGGACAGGACGTGCTCACTTGTTGCCCAGGCTAAGTGAGTGCCAGTGGCGTCAGCCCTAGCTCACACGCAACCTCAAACACCAGCTTGAGCAATCCTTCCTACAGCCTCCCGAGCTAGCTGGACTCACAGGCACCTCGCGCCACAATGCCCCGCTAATTTTCAATTTTCCTATATATATTAGTTGGCCATTAATCTTCTTTCTATTTATAAACGTAGAGACGGGGGTCTCCGCTCATTGCTCAGGGCTGGTTTTCGAACTCCTGACCTTGAGCAATCCGCCCGCCTCGGCCTCCCAGAGTGCTAGGATTACAGGCGTGAGCCACCATGCCCAGCCCCGCCTTCTGCTCTTTAGCACCTGTCTTCCCTTCCCTTTGACCCTACTCTCTGGAGTCAGTTTCTTTGCCATCTCAAAATCCCCAGCTTCTTCCCCAACTACATCCATCTTCTCCTGTTGCTAGTTTTCTTATTGTGGGACCTGAAAGGAAGCAAAGAGCTTAGCCACTCTGGGCCTCAGTTCCCCTTTCGGTGTAATAAGGGTCATGACCCTAATGGACCATGCTAGGACCTGGGAAGAGCAGGTAACTTCTGTTTGGGGGCTGTCAGCATTAGACACTTACAGCTAGTCTACACAGGCACACCACAGGCAGGAAATAGATGTACTTCAAGATACTCAGTTGAGCTAGGTGCAGTGGTGCACACCTGTAGTCCCTGCTGAGGCTGAGGTTGGAGGATCACTTGAGCCCAGGAGTTCAAGTCCAGCCTGGGCAGCAAGATCCCATCTCTAATAAAAACCCATGTAACTTAAAAAAAAAAAAAAAAAGATTCCCAATTGAGTTACCACAGAGCTATTTGCTTTGACTCTGAGAAGAATTTTTTAAAAATCTGCATGGTAGGTTAATTTATTAACACTATAATATTCAAGGCATGGTGAAGGAATGACAATCTCTGCCCTCATAGAGCTAACAGTCCTCCTGGGATACCAAGGGAACATATGTGAAACAATCAGAATAATAATTTGCTGAACTTGTAAGGGTATAATAGAAATTCTGAGAGGGAAGAAAGCCACATGAACTGGAATAATTAGAAAATTCTTTCTACAGGGAGTAGACATGGAAGGACACTGGAGGATTTGAGTGGAGGCAGGTCATGTGAGGTTTGTGGAGGGAAAGTAAGGAAGAGGCAGAAATAAGCTTGGTTGGAGGGTGACAGTGAAAAGGCCCAATTACTTGGAGTGAGAGTGAGTTGTTGGTTATGCTGGAAATCCTTCACATGTGATCTTTTTAAGGGAGTGTTGGAGACATAGGTCACGAATGGACATGTAGGATGGGATAGGTATGCAATAGGAAGGGTCTGTGTAGGTTTTTAAACAAGGAAACAAGCAATATGGTGAAAATAGTATGTTAGTAAGATTGGTTGTGCTGTGCAAGTTGAACGTATGGATAAGAAGCTGCTAGGCTGCTGCAGGCATCTAATTGTGAGCCCTCGAGGGCCTGCTCCAGGGTAGCAGCTGCGGCCTGGAAAGGAAGATGTCTTTGAAAGGTACCTCAAAAGGATGAATCTATGGAGCCTCCTAACAACGTAAAAGTGGGTGATAAGGAGAGAAGAGGCACCAGTGCTGAAGTTTCTGGGTAACCTCAGAGAATGATGGTGTTGCTAGAAAAAAAATGGAAATGATGGGAAAGGGGAGCTAGTTTAGTAGATTGAAGGTGAGCCCAGTGTGAACATTCTCACTTGGAAGAGAACAGGTCCGACATGTGATGATGCCTCCCTGGAAGCTTCTGGAAATGTGAGCTTAGCGGGCATTGCAAGGGGACCTTCGGAGTGATCCTCCCAGGATCACCTCCAGGTGATGCCATGGAAGGTGTAGACTCAGCAAGGTTGTGATGCACTTGGGCAGACAGGCCTCCAAAAGGAGGTGGACGTTAGCCTGTCCTGCTGGGGCCCAGTTCTGCTGCATAAGGCTTTTTTGTCTTTATGGTAGGAGGAGGGTACACTGTCTAACACATGGAAAAGTTAGCCCACACATGGGCTGTGTCTTAGCAATATGCCAGTGATCCTTTGATATTTTTATTTATGAATTTGTGGCTCTAACTCCATGACACCTTTATCTTTGATCCTCCAGAGACCCTCTAGTCAAGACAAAGGTCTTTGAGATCAGTAGCTCCTTCCCCACACCTAGAAAAGAGACCTGGTTATGCCTGTAATCCCAGCACTTCGGGAGGCCAAGGCAGGAAGATCAATTGAGGCTAGGAGTTTGAGATCAGCCTAGGCAACATAGCAAGACCCTATTCCTTCCTTCCTTCCTTCCTTCCTTCCTTCCTTCCTTCCTTCCTTCCTTCCTTCCTTCCTTCCTCCCCTTCCTCCCCTTCCTCCCCTTCCTCCCCTTCCTCCCCTTCCTCCCCTTCCTCCCCTTCCTCCCCTTCCTCCCCTTCCTCCCCTTCCTCCCCTTCCTCCCCTTCCTCCCCTTCCCTCCCTTCCCTCCTTCCTTTCCTTCCTTCTTTTTTGAGACAGAGTCTCACTCCGTTGCCTGGGCTAGAGTGCCATGGCGTCAGCCTAGCTCACAGCAACCTCAAACTCCTCCTGGGTTCAAGCAGTCCTTCTAACTCAGCTTCCTGAGTAGCTGGGATTACAGGCATGTGCCACCATGCCTGGCTAATTTTTTCTATATATATTTTTAGATGTCCAGCCAATTTCTTTCTATTTTTTTTTAGTAGAGATGGGGTCTGACTCTTACTCAGGCTGGTCTCGAACTCCTGAGCTCAAACTATCCACCCACCTTGGTCTCCCAGAGTGCTAGGATTACAGGTGTGAACCACTGCACCACTGCACAAAACCCCATTTCTATAAAATGTTTTTAAAATTAGCCAGGTGTGGTGTTGTGCAGCTGTAGTCCCAGCTATTAATAGTTAGGAGGTTGAGGCAGGAGGATCCCTTGAGCCCAGGAGTTTGAGGCTGGAGTGGCTCACGCCTGTAATCCCAATACTTTGGGAGATTGAGGCGGGGGAAGATTGCTTGAGGCCAGGAGTTCAAGACCACCCTAGGCAACATAGCCAAGCCCCTGACTATACAAAAAATTTAAAAATTAGCTGGCTGTGGTGGCATGTGCCTGTAGTCCCAGCTACTTGGGAAGCTGAGGTGGGAGGATCCCTTGAGCCCAGGAGTTTGAGGCTGTAGTGAGCCATGATGACGATACTAGACTCCAGCGTTGGTGACAGAATGGGAAAAAAAAAAAAAAAAGATTTGGCGAGGCTGCCATTCCTTTAGAGGAAGGGAGCAGGAGGAGCAGAAACAAGCAGCGTGTCTCTGCTCTGCTCCAACCGGCCTAACATCCAGCAGGCAGATCAGTGAGAGGAGGGGAGACAGAGCAGCAGCAGCCTGTGCACAGTAAAAGGAGTTGCCATCAGAAGGCAACAAGTCTCACACCCTGCCCTGGACTGTGACCCTTCCCTGTGGAATTCTCCCCTCTGACCTCCAGATCATTAATCCCAAGGCTGCCAAATGACAGTCATCCATCATGCCTCCTGACAAGCATCCCAGCCGGCTGTGAAAGGAGCCTGCCCCACCCGCCCTGCCTCCCCTAGTGCTCATTAGTAGCCTTTCTTGCTCAGTGCCAGGTTTCCTGATCAAGTCCCTGGCTCCTCTCGCTTCCCCTCGGGGCCAGTGGGCGGAAGCTGCTCTGACCCTCCCTCTTTCAGAGGCCAGGGATGGGGTGGAGTGATTAGTGGGGAGAGAATTGTTGAGTGGCTTTTCATTCCCTTGGAGACTGGTGTGTCCAGCAGCTCCTTTTCCATGGTGGGGCCCACAGGAGAGAAAGAAACCATCTCTCCATCGTGCAGCAGGAGAGGAGAAAGCAGGTGGTATGTAAATGAGCACACTGTTACAGACCATGTGGGGAGCTGCCAGAGAGAAGCCCAGGGAGCTGTCCAGGTGCATGATGAGGCAAGGCCTCCCCTCCCAGGGAGTCAGGGAAGGCTTCCTAGAGGAGGTGACCACTGCATGGAGTCTGAAGGCTCCAGAGGAGTATAAGCTGCCAGATCATTGGGAAATAGTCCAGAATTGTCCTGCTAGAAAAAACAAACAAAACTCACCTTTGAAATCATGTAGTCCTCTTATTTATAGATGGGAAAACAGGACTAGAAAGGCTAAGTGTTTTGCCAAAGGCCACACACAGCCTGTGAGTTGGACCTGTTCTTCCGCTCATCCCAAAGGGAACTGACAGCTGTTCTGACAGCACTCAGGTTTGGGTCGCTGGAGTCAAATTACTCTTCCAATAGGTTCATGAGCATTATTTCCACTCAGCTAAAGATGAGTGTCCGCAGATGTCTTCTTTCTCTGCTTGGTGATAACACAACCTTCTATTTCTCTTGTCGGACGACCACAGGGACCCCCATCAATCGAATCCCCATCATGGCCAAGCAGATCCTGGACCTATACATGCTGTACAAGCTGGTGACCGAGAAGGGGGGCCTGGTGGAAATCATCAACAAGAAGATCTGGAGGGAGATCACCAAAGGCCTGAACCTGCCCACGTCCATCACCAGCGCCGCCTTCACTCTCAGGACCCAGTGAGTGGCCAGGGCCTGCGGGGAGGAAGTGAGGCTGGAGAGAGGGGATGTTTTAGCCTAGAGGACAGGAAGGAAGGAAATTCCATTGTGCAGCTAGCAAGAGGCGTCCAGTTTCTGAAACAATGGGGAGCTTTCTGAGATGAATCTGTCACTAGACCCAGTAATACTGAGAGCTGCCACATATCGAGCACCTCCTATGTGCTACTGCACTAGTGTTCTGTCTCATTTAACCTCACAGCCAGCCCTGTAAGGTAGGTGCTTCCGCATTTTCCAGATTACAGAAAGTAAATCTTCAAGGTTAAATAATAGAGCCAAGATTCATACCTGGGCTTCTGTCTCTAAAATCAGTGCTCTTCCCAGTACATTGTCTTCCAAACAGCACTGCCACCCAAGTGGCCCTTCTCACCTGACATTCAGCTTGCCAGCAACAGAGGACCCAGAGGAAGACAGGCAGGCCCCATTGGATTGGCAACCTGTTTTTGTTACTATTTGTGTTAATTACAAGGGTGATGGAAGCAGTGAAACTGAAGTAGCACTAACTAGAGAATGAGTGTTGTCACAGGGGAATCTTCTTCTGGAACATTCCGGAAGTTTCTTTGTGAAGAATATGGAATGAACAGCTGACATATCACATAGCATATTGAGGCCTTGTTGAAAAGTATTAATAGAAGAGTTTTATCTATTGGAATTGTTCCAGCAGAAGTTGGGGACAGAGTTATAACCAGAATAGCAAGATTCTTGGATAAAGAACTGCTTCTTAGGACATAGGACACAAAGGACAGCACATCTAGGTACACGCACAATGGGAAGAATTGCTTCTTTCTGACTAGCCTAACTCGGAATGGTTAGGGAATCAAGGAGCCAGAATGGCATTGCAAAACATGGGCTTAATTTCTCCCAAGTGCTGAAAAGGCACCAAAACAAATGTGGCAATGTCAACTAAGATGTTACTTATTTCCCTTAATGAGCAATGCTTTAAATTTGAGCAATGTTTAGGATTTAGTAGCAGCTAAAGGAGCCTGAGCCAGAGTGTCCATTGTTCCCGGACTTTTCTACCAAGTACATCAGAGGTGCCCTAGAGGCCTGCCCAACAGAGACAGTTTCCAGAGACTCATCCACCTAAATGGGGGAGGTGTCTGGTGCTATGTTTTGGATTATTCTTGCTTCCATCCTTTCCTCCAGGTACATGAAGTATCTATATGCCTATGAGTGTGAGAAGAAAGCCCTGAGCTCCCCAGCTGAGCTCCAGGCAGCCATTGATGGCAACCGGCGGGAGGGCCGACGGCCCAGCTATAGCTCCTCCCTCTTTGGCTACTCACCCGCTGCTGCTACTGCTGCTGCTGGGGCCCCTGCCCTTCTCTCCCCACCCAAAATCCGCTTCCCCATCCTCGGGCTTGGCTCCAGCAGTGGTACCAATACCAGTAGCCCTCGGATATCGCCAGCATCCACTCTCAGGAAAGGTCAGTAGGGCCCTTAGGGGAGGAAGGGAGAAGGGAGCTCAGTGTCTCTGTGTCCAGGGTTAGGGTTTTTGGGTGAGAGGATTGACTGTGAGTTGGTCCAGCTTTAGTTCCATCGCAGGTGATGGAGTCCCTGTGACAACAGTGCCCGTGCCAAATCGCCTGGCTGTGCCTGTGACCCTGGCAGGCCAGCAGGCCAGTGCTCGGACGGCCGCGCTGGAGCAGCTGCGGGAGCGGCTGGAGTCAGGGGAGCCTCCTGAGAAGAAGGCATCGCGACTGTCCGAGGAGGAGCAGCGCTTGGTGCAGCAGGCCTTCCAGCGCAACTTCTTCAGCATGGCGAGGCAGCTCCCCATGAAAATCAGGATCAACGGCAGGGGTGAGCCCAGGCGGGGGTTCTTCCCTTCCTGGTGAATACCAAACCCCGGCTCCACTGAAGGCCCATTCACGCACGCCTCTGGAGCTAGTGGGGTCCGAGGGCAGTGTGAGCTAGTGCTCCAAACCTGGAAAGGGTCCCTCCAGGCCCCCAGAAGCCCAGAAGGGTCTAGAGAGCAGAAGAAGAGAGCCCTGTGGGCTTTCTGTGGCCACTGAGATCACCAAGCCGAGGTTGTTTGCTGGCTTGGGTTGGGGACAAGCTAAGGGGACCACAAATTGCCTCAGGCAGTGCCCTGTTCTCTAGCAAGAAGGAAAAGCAGTTGCTGAAGGAGGAACCAGCACCCTTCAGAGACAGCTGCTGTGCTTCTGGCTCCCATCAGCCTTTTGATCTGTCTAAAATTGAAGGGCTCGGCCTTCACCCCAGCACCTCGCCGGATGTAGGCAGGAGCAGGGCTCCACCGGCAAGTCCAGGAGGAAGACACCCTGGCATTCAGGGGGCAGAGTCACCTCGGACTGGGTGGTGGGCCTGCCAGTGACCCTCAGGAACATAAGAGGGAAGGAGCAAATTCGAGTTTGGCAGCATAACTGACATGTTTCCCTTCTCTGCATTTTTCTAGTGCCCCACTTTCTCTTCCCCAAGCCGCGCTTTCCATTTCCCTTGTTCCCTTCTTGCCTGTCCCCTCGCACTCGCTCCCTGTGCCATTCCTGGCCATTCCTGCCCTTGACTCGGCCTCAGAGCAAACCTGCATGTGTGCAGGAAGGAGTCGGGTGTTCCCAGGCAGCCCCACCCTGCCCCACTTACGGCTAGGTGGGGAGCGGAAGGGAGCTGGGAGGTCGCCTGCAGAGCAAGGGGCTGATGGAAAGGGCAGCTCACCTGGAAGAGTGAATTCCGGGCACGCTGTGTGGTGTGCAGGCGGAGGCTCTGTGTGCCAGCACCTGCAGCCTTCCACAGACGCCGGATGCCCGTGTGGGCATGGCAGTCAGGTGCTGGGGGTGCAGGCCCCTCTCCTCAAGGAATTCACAGTCGAGGGCAAGGGGTCCAGGTGAGTGTTCAGGCGTGGGGCCAGGTCTTGTTGATCTGATTTCCTGGGCCTGATGTGTAGTGGGTGCTCAGTTAGGGTTTGCCTAACTGTGCTGTGTTGGTGCACAGCTGTGGAGCTGGCATCAACCTCCTGGCTGGCTGTGGTCCCTTTTCTCTGAGAGTAGCGGAGTGGGGAAATGAGCTGGTTCAGTGGAGGGAGCCAGCAACAGGAGGTTGGCGAGCCTGGGCTCTTCTGCTGCTTCGTGTACTCAGGAGGTTCCACAGACGCTTCTAACGGTGTGAGGTCTTGGCCTGGAGTGGCCGGGAAGCGTCAGAGAGCAACAGGAATGCTTTGGAAAGCTTGACCAGGCCTGCTTTCTCCTTGTCCCCAGCAGAGGACAGAGCAGAGACCTCAGCTGCAGCACTGAACCTGACCACGAGCAGCATCGGGAGCATTAACATGTCCGTGGACATCGATGGCACCACCTATGCGGGTGAGGCCCTGGGGTTCGGGGGGAGGCCCACGCGGTGGCAGCCAGCCACAGGGGCAGCCACCTGGCTGGCCCTGCCTGTTGCCCGTGTGTCTGAACACCTCCCAGGGTGTTTACCTCGTTTTGGGGTTCCAAAGGTAAAGCAGCCCTTCTGGACTAGCAGAGGCCATGGATTGTTACCAGCACGACCGGCCTCCTCCTGACAGGAACCCTTCGCCTAACCCCCACAGACTAGCGATGGTCTGCCAGTCAGTGTCCACCGTGCCCAGGCCTCCTCCTCTGGCTGTGGTTCGCTGTTCTCTTCCTCTTGTAATACACACCCATGCCACGATATCTGCATTCCCTCCTTCACAGCGGACCCAGGGCTGGCGCGCAGGCAGAGGGGTCTGAGCGCAGCAGGGTCGGCCCACGTTTCTATGATGCTTTCCTCCAGCCTTTCACAGCTGCCTCTCCCGTAGACCTAATTTGGCGACAGTTTCTTGTTGGTTGGTTGGTTTAGCGCCTTTCCCAAGTCTTTCCAAGGCATTCGTAGAAGCGTCAGTCCTGTCCCACTCCTATTTCGTTGGTTTAGGGAGGAGCTCGGGAACAAACCCAGCTGACTCTTGTAAGCACAGCTTGGTGAGTGGAGCCTCCAGAGTTGGCCCAGGGCACCCCCACCTGCTCTGTCGAGTGGAGAATGCGGGCCAGCCTCTCCAGTGGGGAGGGTTGAGAGCCATGCGGCTCCACCTTCCACCATACGGGGCATATTTTTAGGGCCTGCTTCTATTGTAGGGCTACGTCGCCTCAGAACAGCATCTGCAGACCCTACAGGGAACCCCTCATGCCCTGCATCTCTGCTGGACAGCCTGCCACAGGCATTGGCCAGGGGCAGGCAGGGAAGGGGTGGGTGCAGGGAAGCAGCGATGCCAGGCTGGCTCACTAGAGGCCACAGCCAGAGGTCTCTGCCTGACATGGGAGGTCCCTGGAGGAGGCAGGGCCTGGCACCCTGTGCTGTCTGTGGGCCAAGTGCAGTTGCTCAGGCCAGGAACCCAGAGCAAGGGCGTTCCTGAGAGCCCCTCCCCCTCCCTGAGCTAACTTCTCCTGCCTGTCCTTGCTGCCACTCTTGGAGCAATTCCTCCTCCTTCTCCCCTGTCACCGGTGTTCCTCCCATGCCGTGGAGAGGGTGTTATAAAATGCAGATCTGAGGTCCTTCTCCTGCTCAGAGGCACATGAGGCCCTAACGCAGCCCTTACCATCAGCACCCTTCTTAATTTGGCCACACTCCTTCTCCTAACAGCCCAGACATGCTCTCCCCACGGAGCCTTTCCTGACCAGCCTTCCCCTGTCCCCCAGAACCCACTTTGTAATCCCACAACACGTGTCTCAGAGCAGTTACAACATTTCAGCAAAATCACTCTGTCGACCTGCCTCCCCCTCCCCAGCTCATAAGCACCTGAAGGCAGGACAGCGTTGGGGACTTCTGTTGGCCCCAGTGCAGTGTGTGCAGCAGAGCTAGGTCAGCAGTGAATACCGGTTGGAGTGAGCTGACCCGTCCCTTCTCTCCCTTCTGCCCACTCCTGCCTCTCCTCCCCCACTCAGGTGTGCTGTTTGCCCAGAAGCCTGTGGTCCACCTCATCGCGGGCTCTGCTCCCCAGAGCCTGGGCAGCGCCAGCAACAGCAGCAGCTCCCACTGCTCGCCGAGCCCTACCTCGTCCCGGGGCACCCCCGGCGCAGAGCCCTCCACCAGCTGGTCCCTCTGACAGCTGTACCCCACTTCCTGCTCCCCACTCTCCTGCTGAGAGTGAAGGAAGTTGCTGCACAGAATTTACCTCATCTCACGGAGCCTGTGTGAACACCGCTGGGCCAGACAGTGCACACTTGGACGTGTCCGTCTGTCCAGGCACCATTCAGGTCCTGTTGTACTCTGGTTAGAGAGAGGCCGGAGGGGCAGGACAGGGCAGCGTTGTCCAATCAGGGATTGTCCTGGAGAACTGGGCAGGGGTCTGTGGGCATCCAGCTTTCTCCAGGGCTCCCCGGCCACCTCCCACCCCGGGGCACTGTGTATCGACAATCTGTAAGCTGACACAGGGCTCCATTTCCCTTCCCCTTTAATTTATTTCCCTACCCTGCCTTTTGCTGTGACCCCAGGGTCACTAGTCTCTTCCCCTGCTAGTCCCCCAGTTTTTAAGTCCCATGTGGGGCTGTCAGGAACCACGAACACGCCTTCATGGACCTTCTCTGCTGAGTGTGGGATGCGGCCCTCCTAGCCCACCTTGCCTATTGTTTGGCTCCTAGGGTGTGGGTCCCTCAAATTCAGGTCTAGAATCAGTCCTCAGGGCCCCGTATGTCCCTTCAGTGGTCCCAGGAAGGAGCAGGTAAGGGTTGTCTTTGGGTCCCAGGGCCCGCCGGCATCTGCTGAGCGGGGAGGCAGAGCCTCCGGGCTGTCCAGGCCCTGGCACGCGTTCCACACAGACCCTTTTCTGACCCCCCAAACCTCATGCTCCCCACTTGCCCTTGTTGGCCAGCCCTCCCAAGAACAGCCCACTGTCCCTTGCCCCTCCTTCTCTCATGGGGCTATCTCAGCCCCACCATCCCCAAACGTGCTGACGTCAGGTTCATTGAAATACCTCAGATTTGTAATTGTTGTTTAATTCTTCAGGAAGTATTTGCATCTCTGAATCTTTTTTATATGTGTTTTGCTGACTTTTGTTTTTTATTTTAAAATTTTTATTGTTGTTGTTGTAGCACCAAAGAAATGAAAACAGATGACCCCCAAAGCCAAGCAAGTGATTTGGTAACCCCACTGGCCTTCCCTAGAACCCCAGCGTGGAGCGGGGGAGGCAGGCAGGGCAATGACTCAGGGATCTCAGGGACGGGGAGGTGGAATGAGGAGACCGCTCTCGCGCCAGTCGGGGCCTGAACCCGCACCAGTTCTGAGGAGGGTCCTTGACCTATTTCCTGCCACACAACCCCCACCCCCACAGGTGACAAGGGTGGGCGCAGGACATCTCCCCTTTGGCCAGCCTTCCCCGCTCAGGACATGTGGAGCCTGTGGGCTTTGCTCGTCCTGCCAGCCACAGCTTGAGCTGCCCCAGGGAACGTGGAGGTGCAGAGAAAGCTGTCTCTCCTCCGTGGCCCTGGGGTAGGACAGGTGCTCCTGTGTTGTAATGAAAAGGTGATTCTTGCTCAAGGCTCGCTTCATCCGAGTAAGCCCTGAAGAGTTCAGTGCAACACCACCACTGTCGTCAGGCTGTGGTGGGGGGAGACACCACGTGTGACATGAGCCGTGTGAGGCCACACAGCTAGCATTCGGTCCTGTCTAGGAAAGGAAAGGGAAATTAAAAGCTTGAGCACAAAACAGATGCCTCAGCCTGGTAAGCTACAGCTCTGCTGGGCTGCGTCTCCCCTCTCCGGCCCTCCACGCTCACGCACCGCCTGTCCCTGGGGGCTGACCCTCGTCGGGCCTCAGAAGCTTTGCCCACCAGGCACGTGCAAGGCATGGCGGAGAAAGGCACCAGGATCAGGTGCCAGTAAGGATCCCAGTTGGCTGGCACTGGGCGTACTTGAAGGTGTCTCAGACATTTGGCCAGTGTGTCTTTTCTCAGGGTTTGGTCACGAAGGATGGACTCTTCCCACCCAGAGGATGCAGGCACAGCACACTGTCTTTCTGGTCATTGGGTCCTCTCCCTTTCCCCAGGCAGCTTTCCGACCTCACCCTCTGAGTAAACTCTCACTGCCCTTGAGGACAACAGCAGGGTCTCAGCCAAAAAGCTCAAGATTGGGGGTCCCAGCAGGTGCCCCCAGGAGTGGGGCCCTGGCCCAAGCAGAGCTTTCCCTGCAAATGCAGTCCTGAAGGCCATGTGGTAGGCAGTCAGCCAGGGCAGCTCTGTCCCCTCCCTCTTCCCATCTTATATGTATTCTAACCAGGAAAAATGTGATAGCACATGGGTAGCCTAGGCAGAGAATAAATACCTCAGATGTCCTTTTGCAGCAAGTGTCTGTATATGTTGTGGTTATTTTCTATCTTACATGTTCTCGAATGTTTATATTTCAATAAACCTCTACCTCTTCACACAAGTAGGTCTCTCTTGGTTGCTTTGACTGACCCTTCCATTGGACAGTAACAGAGGAGGGGCAAGGTCCTTCACAGTAAAAAGAGACTGAGTGACCTCCTGATATCCTGATTTTTCCTGAACCTTCCCTCTTCACTGCTTACCCATCCTTTCTCCAAAGCGTTTACTCTCAGGTTATCTTCTGTATTAGTAAGGTATTCTGGCATTGTGCGATCACCAAAACTGACTCCAATGGTGTCACATCAGGGTCCTGGCAGGCACAGGGCCAAGGAATTGCCTCCTTGGTGTAACAAGCCCTTGTGGAGCTCCTACTGGATTGACACTAAGGGAGGAGACACAAAGTTGTCTGGACAGAGACCAGTTCTTTTTTTGAGACAGAGTCTCGCTTTGTTGGCCAAGCTAGAGTGAGTGCCGTGGTGTCAGCCTAGCTCACAGCAACCTCAAACTCCTGGGCTCAAGTGATCCTTCTGCCTCAGCCTCCCGAGTAGCTGGGACTACAGGCATGCACCACCATGCCCGGCTAATTTTTTCTATATATATTAGTTGGCCAATTAATTTCTTTCTATTTATAGTAGAGACAGGGGTCTCACTCTTGCTCAGGCTGGTTTTGAACTCCTGACCTCGAGCAATCTGCCTGCCTTGGCCTCCCAGAGTGCTAGGATTACAGGCATGAGCCACCGCGCCCGGCCCAGAGACCAGTTCTTTAGAGAACAGCATGGCTGGGACTCTAAACAGTACACTACCACTGGTGGGCAGGTAGAAGCTAGAGCAGCTCCTGAACATCTGGAAGGCTTTGCAGAGGCAGTGACATTAAAGCTGGTTCAGAGATTGACAACTAGAAATGTGAATAGAAGAGCATTCCTAGCAGAGAAGTAAATACATACATTTGGATACACATGGAAACACAGTGGCAGAGGACCTGGCATTGGAGGAGTGTGGCCAGTGCCTGGGGTCATTGGGGTAGAGGGGAGGGGAATTGGGACAAAGTGCAGCTGGGGCCAGGATGGGTCTCCGGCTAATGGATCTGGGTGCCATCCTCTAAGCATAGAGGATGTGTTTTAACAAGGGCATGGGCTTAGAGGAATGCTTTTCCAGAAGAGTGATGTGAGGCTGGGAGTGGACAACCTGGGTCACTTGCCAGTGGAGCTTGGGCCTAGACCCAAAGTGCTCACCCTTTCTCTGCTGTGATGTGCACTCCCATGGGCACAACCTGAAGACACGTGCAGAAGCAAAGCCTTGGGTGGGTTGCAAAGCCTGCCGCCTCCGTCACGACAACACTACCCATCTGTGCACCCTTTGAGGCAACGTAGTAGGATTCCCTTTCTCTGGCCTTTTGAAGTCTTGAGCTCTTGCTGATTTTTAAAATCTTTTGAAAAAAATGACTGATACTTTGGTACTTTAATTACTGGTAACCACTCGGTATCATACTGACAACTTCCTGTGCCACATGGAAATGCAATGGGCCTGTCTAGAAGGGAGCTGAGAGGTGAAGAGCAGGACCAGGGCCCAGAGACATTGGAGGTGGAGACAGCACACAGTGACTGGTGGGGGAATGGGGCTACTTGGAGGAGTGGCACCTGAGACAGACGGAGAAGCTAGGGAGGACAAGTCCCTGGCCACTGCAATTCCATGCTGTCTCAAACTAACAGAGAAGAAAATAAAGGAGAATATCTTTTTTTTTTTTTTTTGAGACAGAGTCTCGCTTTGTTGCCCAGGCTAGAGTGAGTGCCATGGTGTCAGTCAGCCTGGCTCACAGCAACCTCAAACTCCTGGGCTCAAGCAATTCTACTGCCTCAGCCTCCCGAGTAGCTGGGACTACAGGCATGCGCCACTATGCCCAGCTAATTTTTTCTATATATATTAGTTGGCCAATTAATTTCTTTCTATTTATGGTACAGATGGGGTCTTGCTCTTGCTCAGGCTAGTTTCGAACTCCTGACCTCGAGCAATCCACTCGCCTCGGCCTCCCAGAGTGCTAGGATTACAGGCGTGAGCCACCGCGCCCGGCCAAGGAGAATATCTTGACCTTCAGAAAAGAAAGAATTTTTCAAGCCAGACCCACCTCCCAAAAGAGTTCATTGAATGATACCATAAAGTAAAAAAGACAAGGAGAAGATACTTGCAACACATAACTAACAAAGTAGTAGTCAGAATTTTTTTTAAATGCTTGTTCTTTTTTGTTTTTTTGAGACAGGGTTGCACTCTATCACCCAGGGTAGAGTGCAGTGGTGTTGTCATACCTCACTATAGTCTCAAACTCCTGGGCTCAAGCAATCCTCCCACCTCAGCCTCCAGAGTAGCAGAGACACACACCTGGCTAATTTTCCTATTTTTAGTAGAGATGGGTCTCGCCCCCGCTGGTCTTAGACTTCTGACCTCAAGTGATCTTCCCAGATCAGCCTCCCAGAGTGCTAGGAGTAATAGGTGTGAGTCACTGTGCTTATTAATTCTTAAAACAAATGCAAAAAGAAGAATTGAGGAGAGGGGCAGTGTAAATCAGTCTAACCAATCTGGAAACCACTTTGACCTTACCTAGTGTCAGGTTTCAGTCTGAAATGTTGATTCAAAGGGCGTTCATGGCCGAAGAATGACCAGACATGCGAAAGGCAAGCACGGTAATGAGGTCTATTGAGGAGAGAAAGATAGGATAATAGAATAAGAGCAAGCTACAGGTTTACAAACATGACAGATGACGACTAGACCCATTGTTGCAGCCAAGGGAGAGCAGAAGGAAGGAAAAAAGCAGGCCAGGTTATGGTTAGTGTCTTGTTTTATGGTGCGTGGATGGGGACCTCCCTCATGGCTCAGATGTCCCCATGGAACCACTTTGGACAGTTGGGAGTTACATGACGTCTTACTATGCATGTGGGTTCTAGGTTATTTTCTGGATTCTGTCATGCTGCTTGGCCCATGGGCTAGCGCCCTCTGCATTCTTTTGCAGTTGGCTCAGTAAGTTCTGACTGGCAGATTCATAGGGTATTCCCTCCTACACCAGGTCTGGCAGTCTCTTGGGAAAGGTGAGGCAGGACCAAGATGAGGGCCTGGGCCCACCCTTACCCTTCTTCCCAGGTGGGGCAATTGCACCAAGGCAAAGCACCCACTTCTGTCCCTAGGAGACCCTTCTACCTAACAGTACAGCTGATCACACGCTCGCCGTGGGGCCTTGTAATTTCACTCCTAGGCTTGTGTCCAGGAGGTGGACAGGAAGGTTCAGCAGCACTGATGGTGATAACTTGGCTGTGAAACTGCCAGTTATTGAACCCGGTGTGGGCCAAGTGCTGTTCTCAGTTCTCTGCAGGAATTAACTCGTGCAATCCGCTACACACTTGTGAGATGGGACCGTAATCCCCATTTACAGATGAGAACGGTACAGAGCTTGAGCCACCATCCTGAGGCCCCAGCACTAGTGTGCAGAGGAGCCCGGGGTCTGCCCGACCGCAAAGTGCTAAGCACTCCGCACGCATCACCTCGTGGCGCCCTCCACCCGCCGCCCGCGAGGCGGTCATTTCGTTCATTTTACAAACGAAGAGACCGAAGAAGGGAAATATGCTCAAGGCATCTAGAACGGCAGGGCGGGGACTGCACTCCAAAGTGGCTGACCTGCGCCTCTCTCCCATGTGCCGCCCTCAGGGAGGGGAGAGGGCCCGCCAGCTGGGCGACCAGGAGGAAGACGGAAGGCGGCTACCCCAGGTCTCCGCTCCGTCCGCCACTCCCGGCCTGGTCTCAGGCGGCACGCAGCAGGCCGCCTCCCATTGGCCAGAGTTCGGCCACGTGGCCTCCCCAGAGCCAATGGGAGTGAGGGGCGGAGACGCCTGGAGCGCCCCGCGGCGCGGCGGGGGGACGGCGCGGACGCGCGGGGGGCGGACGGTGGCCGCGGGGGGGACGGCGCGGGGGCGCGGGGAAGCGCGGAGGGGGGCGGGGGCGGGGCGCGCGGGGGACGGCGCCGGGGCGCCGCGGGGGACGGCCGCGGGGCGCGCGGGGGAACGGCGCGGGGGACGGCGCGGGGCGCGCGGGGAACGGCGCCGGGGCGCGCGGGGCGACGGCGGCGCGCGGGACGGCGGGGGCGGACGCGGACGGGCGCGGGGGGACGGCGCGGGAAGCGGCGGGGGGGACGGCGCAAGCGCGGGGGGACGGCCGCGGGAAGCGCGGGGGACGGCGCGGGAAGCGCGGGGGCGGGACGGCCGCGGGAAGCGCGGGGGGACCGGCGCCGGGCGCGGGAGGGACAGCACGGGCGGCGCCGGGGGGGACCGGCGCGGCGCTGGGGGGAAGGCGCGGGGCGGGCAGAGCTGGGGCACCCGAGCGACCGTGAAGCGGAGTGGAGGTCACTACAGACAAAGAGAGGGAGGTGGTGGCCGAGGGGCTTGTGAAGCAAGGTTTGGAATCAGCGCTGGAGAGAAGGGGAGAAGGAACCAAGCAGGAATAGCGGGAACAGGAAGGGACTAGGGGTAGGAAGTCGAGCTTGGGGACGGGGGTACAAACGCCTGCAGGTACAAGGACAGACCGGAAGCCGGGGGCTGGTGGGGTGGGCGCCTTTGACAAGCCAGTGGCAATCCCTTCACTGGAGTGCGGTGTGCTGGGACTAGGGCGGGCACTGAGGAGCAGCAGATGGGGGATTAATGCCCCAGCATTAAGGGGCGCCTTCCAGCGGGACAGGCGCTTCCCCGCCAGCAACACTGGCCACTTGTGCCAGGCAGCGGTTCTTTGTGAGCCGTCAGCACTCAAGCCAGTGGCAGCAAGAGAGGAGAGGGGTTTATTCTTGGACCCCAAGGTGTGTGGAGGAGCCCAAGGGCAGCTGGACCTGGTGCTGTCTTCAGGAAGTGCCTGGAACTTGGGAAGCTCTGCCCACGAAGGTGTTCCTGACCACCCCAAAACTCAGCTTGATGTGTTCTCATGACATGCCTGAGGGCCCCCTGGGCTGAGTTAGCATCTCTCCATCCCATTTCCACTCCTGCCCAGCTTTACTTCCAGCTCCTAGCCACAGGGTCCCCTGGGAAGGTGCCAGGCGGCCTCATCCACGGAGAGGTAGGAACCTTAGTGGCAACCCCTGGGCTAACATGGGCATTTCAGGCCCTGTGGCAGGCAGAGGATGAGGAGAAGTTTCTGCCAAGGAGGCCTCTGACTACAGCTGCTTAGGACGGGCCCCACGCCTCAGGCCTGGCGGACACCCTGGCCTGGGGGGCTGATGGCATAGCCATAGGGGCCTCCCCTTTCCCCAGGAAGTTCTTGCCCAGCCTTGGTTCCCTGAGGCCTCACCACCCAGCCCCTCTATACCAGGGGCCACCCAGCTCACTGGGGGATGGCTGACCCCAACCTCTCGTGCTGCCGAGCGAGGCTGTGAGTCTGGCCACTGATAGCTCTGAGCCACAGTCTCCATACTACCTGGCCACTGCCCCTGGCTTCCAACTTTTCTCAGATGCTCCTCTCCTCTGGGTTCCAGGACTGTGGCTGGGATCTGGGGGCAGATGAAGCAGAGGATGACACCATGGTGGGCAGAGAGGCAGGCCAGGTACCCAGGCATGGGGCAGTTCCCGCTATGTCCAGGGAGGGGGTGCTAACTCAGGAATCCATGTAAAACCCGCAAAAGCCCGAGCTGGAAGTACTTTTTGAGCCTTTTGTCTCCCTTTCCAACATACAGATGGGAAGACCAAGGCACAGAGAGGAACGGGGTGTGGGTCCCACCAGGAGGCAGGGATCACTCTTCCCCCCTTTCTACAGGGACCCCATGTGCTACCTTCAGGGGCTGAGAGGTGGCTGGAGGCTCCTGTCCTTGCCAGGAGCTGCAGAAGCTCCTACTCCCTGAGGACACAGTTCTCAGCCTGAGGGTCAGAACTCTTCCAGTCTCCCAGGCCCTACTGGCAGCTCTGGCCCTCTGTGTTAGGGTCCCCAAAGAACAGCTGAGGCAAAGGACAGGAGCGCCCACCCCATCGGGCTCCTTGGTGCAGTAGGTCAAAGATGAGGAGCTGGCTTGGTTGGTAGGTTGTGCTGGTTTTTCATTGGTGGCTCCACAGTATAATAAATTGTTTCATGAGAAGTGCAAATAAAGCCTTGTTGATTGAACATTGGATCAACAGATTTTATGACTAAAGCCCACATGCAGCTGGTCCTTGGCACACATGCATGGCCTTTTGCCTTTGGTACTGATTAGCCTAAGTGGGCCCCAGACACAAGGGAAGCTGAGGAGGACGGGAAAAACAGGCACCAAACCAGGTGTGTCATGTACCATGCCACCCTCACATCAACCCATGTGGCAGTACTGTCAGTGTTCCAGTTTTACAGATGAGGCCACTGAGGCCTAGCAAGGAGACACGCTGGTGCTGCCCGAGCTGACCAGTGCACAGTGAAGCACTGCATTCTCCACTCTGATGGCCACTCCTTCCATCCATCACTCCAGCCCTGGGAACCCGGATGTCCCGGTTCCCTGTGCCCCTGGAGCCCACCTAGCCATGCCCCATCCTGCCCCTGGCCCCGGGGTCCCCTCTCCAGGAGAAGGCAGACGAGGACACATGTCAGGCCCCGGCCTGCTGGCCCACCCTATCCTAGCCCCCGAAGGGATGAAAGGGTGTCTGTCCTCCACGGCGTCCCTCGGTCCTCAGGGAAGAGGAAGAGCCGTGAGGCCTAGGGAGTAGCTCTGCAAGGGACGGCAGCGTTCCCCCGCCAGAGCCCCTCAGACGCAGACACCTCTCATCCCACGGTCCTTGCTTTCCCACAGTTCTGCTTGAGAGTCCTCAGCTTCTCGACAAGGCTCTGCCAGCTTGGGAGAAAGGGGGAGAGGCGGTGAGCACGTTCCAGGGCCTGGCCCTGGGGGCAGCAAGGGCTTGGGAGGGACTTTACTGACCAAGCATGGGGAAGGGAGGGTCGATGGCCACTGTGGGCCCCAGGGACTGGGCTGGGGAAGGCTGTAGGGACAGCCTGGCACAGGCACAGTGCTGGGGGTGCTGCCGAGCACCTGGTTCGGGGCAGCCTGCAGCATCTGCTGCTGAGCCTCCAGTTCTGAGTCTCGAGCTTCCGGCACATCCCAGACCCAGCCCAGCTCAGCCCACACCTGCGCCAGCACTGAGCCCACTTCCCGCAGGAAGTCCGGACAGAGTGGGCAGGTTGGCTCTTGTTTTGATCTGGTGCTTCGCCAAGGACATCGCCCCCCTTGCATTCAGAGTTCCATCCTACAGGGACTTTCCTAGGACTGTGCCTTGACCCAAAGAAGGGGGCATGATGGGGGTGTCAGAGGCAGTGCTGAGAGGACAGCACTGGGGGAGGGAGCAAGATGGCTCATCCTGCCCCTCCAAGCTGTATAGGTAACTAAAATCCAGAACATTTAGCCTGAACCCACCATCCTGTACTTACCTCTTTATTTTCCCTGAGTCCAAAAATATGGATGCATGATAGTCTCTCAGTGCTCCCTGCATGTCTGGTACTGCCCAGCCCGAGAGCCTCGCGGGCAGGCCCAGGTCTTCACATCGCACTCCGTCCCCAGCCCCTGCGCTCCATCCGCCTGCACGGGGCTGCTGTGTGCAGGGCTGGGCCCACAGAGCCGGGCCCCCCAACACACGCGTTTCATATCGGTTGGTGAGTCCACCCTACCAAGGAGTGACTGCCTAGTCCCGTGACGGGACCACGCTGAAACTGTGGGAGGCCAGGGCAGCCAGGGGGTTGAGTCTAGGCTGAGCCCTTGGCCCTCAGTGGAGACGCCCCCATCCTGACTCATTGGTTCCAACAAGCTGGGCACCCCACCTGTCCCCCTGCCTCCGGGCACAGCCCCCACCTTCTCTTCTTCACATGGCCTCGGTCTCAGCTCCTTCACTTCCTGGACACAAATGCTGGCCTTAGAGGGCCCAGTCTACATGGCAAGGGGAGACCAGAGCAGGGTCCTCTGCCTGAGAGGTCCCACCTCCAGCACCTGCGCCCCGCTTGGTCTTGAGAGGGCAATCAGGGCTGCCCCAGGTCAACTCTCCCATGCCCCAAGATACACTCTAGGGCCAGGGCAGAGAGTTTGGGACACATTATATAGACAGAGAAGCTGAGGCCCCATGAGGAGAAGGGGCTGTAATTGTGGCAGAGCCCAGGCCTCACACTTTTTTGCACTAGGCCCCTGATTTTGGATTTGGGGAGGACTCTAGGGTTCTCAGGAGTGATTCCTTGGGGGCCCTGAGCCCAGATAGGTCCCACGTCAGCCCACCCCAGGCAGACCCCAGCTCCTCCCCACCTTCCGCCTCTGGCTCCAACAGCCAGAGGTGTTTTCCTTCTCCAGAGTCCCGCCCCTGCTGCTAGCTGGGGTGGGGCAGAGTGCACCCCATCTGAGGGGCTTGTGCTCCCACCTTCTCATGCAGAATCCCCCACGCTGGAGCCTGATGTCCAGCCTGCCCCAGCCTGCCCTCCCCATGCCCAGGATGCAGATGAGGCACCCAGGGATCAGGGAGCACCCTCCCCCCCATTCATGGCAGTTCCTTGAGCACACTCTGGCCTTGCTGCAGCTGGGGGAGGGGCCTGGGGTTACATGAGGGGAAAAACAAGACAGGGAGTAGCTGGGCCCTTGAGGTCCCAAGTCAAACCCAAACTATAACCAGGGAAGGGAGCAGGAAGCAAACTGGGGGCATTATGGGTTGGTTGTATCACCCCACACACACACTCAAATAAAAGATATACTGAAGTCCTTGGTACCTCGGAATGAGACGTTTTTTGGAGATAGGCTCTTTACAGAGGTACTCAGGTTAAAATGAAATCATTAGACTGCGCCTTGCCCCAATGTGACAGATGTCCTTATAAAAAGGGGAATTTGGACACAGACGCACAGGGAGAACACTGTGCACAGATGCAGGCAGAGCACCAGGTGGGAGTGTCAAAGTAGCTGGCAAACCACCAGAAGTCAGGGGACAGGCCTGGGACAGACCCTCCCTCACAGCCTGCAGAAGAGACCAACCCTGCTGACACCTTGATCAGAACTTCCAGTCCCCGGAACTGAGGGACAATAATGCCTGTTGTTTGAGCTACCCAGTCTGTGGCAGTTTGTTTTCACAGCCCTAGCAGACTAATACAGAGGGCACATGGGGTAAAACCCAAAGGACCCTGATTTCTAGGGGAACTTTCTTCTCAAAACTGCCACACCTGTAGCACAGGAGTGTACAGTGATAGCAGCAAACATTTCCCGACTGTGCCCACTGGGTTTCCATGCTTGCTTGGTGTGACCCTCACAGGCACCTGCTAAGGGAGGAGAACAGTATTCTAGTTTTTACAGATGACGTGCAGAGATGTGCCCAGAGTCACCCAGCTGGTATATTGTGGAATCAAGATTTAAACCCAGCATTCAGGCTCCTAAGCCCACAATCTCAAATACTAATCTGTGGACAGTGAAGGCACTGGATCCTGGAATTGAAGAGAAAGATAGATTGAGGTAAGGCCCAGAGAGGGCAGGGTGGAAGGAGCTTGAGGCTGGGAATGGGACAGGAGGTAGAGTGTGACACAGGCCCTGGGAGCCCCAAGGTCAAGCTCTCACACCTCCTGGCCAGCTGGATGTTGAGGCAGTATAGGCTTCCTCCCAACTCTATCCAGCTGTTGCCCCATCTCTGAGCGCCTTGTCCTGCTGGAAGAGCACTGCTGTGAGTTTGGTCCATCAGCCACTTTGCACAAGGACCCCTGCCCACGGCTCAAGGCCTACATTTTAGGACACCCTCCCTGGGCAGGCCCAGAGCCCAGAGAACTCGCCTGCTCCCAGAGAGGGAGTCCTGGGCCAGCCTTCCAGGTCTTCCAGGTCTAGGCAGAGCGTAGAAATGGCCTGGGCAGTCCCTGAGAGGCTGGAAGAAGGCCCTTCGCTTGGGGCCCAGTTGGCACTGGCTTTATGTCAGTTGCATGCAAAGCAGACAGCTCACCCATTGCCACTTCCTGCCAGGAGCCAAATCTGACCGGGGGCCCAGGCCTCAGCCACCCTGTGCCCTGCCTTCTCGCTGACATTGTCCACTGCAGGTTCTCCAACTCAACTAGAGAATAGAGACTTATAAGCCCTGAGGATATGTCCTCTGATCCCCAAGGGTCTGGTTTGAGAAATGACAAAAACAAGCTGAGAAGCTATTCTGTACAAACCTTCTGACCTTGGGGGTCAGAAGCCCTCAAATCACGTCACTGCTATGGCACCTCTCTGGCTTCCACATCTTCAGCTGTAAGAACCTTGGCAAGGGGCTCCTGGGGTGTTGCCACTCCCCACTCCTCCCCATCATCACCCTCCTCACCTCCAGGGTCCAAGCCTGAATCTACCACTGCCTGCCCACCCCCACCCCCATTCGCACTCCTGGGCGACGGGCGCCCCACCCCAGCTCTGTAGGAGCACAGGAGGGTGCACTCAGCACCTCTGCTACCCCCACCCTGACTTGCCCACACCTCACATTCCCAGACCTTCCCCACTCAGGACGGCAGCACCGTCCACCAGCCCTTCCTCCTTCCGGACGGCATGACTCTCCTCTCCCGATTTCAAGCCCAGGTTCGCGGAGCCCTCCAGAGCTGTCTCCCCCATCACCACCAGGCAAGGCCTCTCTAAAACGGCCGGCGACTGGCCCTGCTCCCACCTCCCTCGGCCAGCACAGCGCCCACAACGATGCTCTGTTTTCCCAGTTAGAGGTGAGGGCCAGGCCGGGCACGGTGGCTCACGCCTGTAATCCTAGCACTCTGGGAGTTCACTTGAACTCAGGAGTTCGAGACCAGCCTGAACAAGAGCAAGACTCTGTCTCTACTAAAAATAGAAAAAATTAGCCAGGCATTGTGGCGCATGCCACCACACTCTGGCCCAGGCAACAGAGTGAGACTCTGTTTGAAAAAAAAGAAGTGAGGGGCTTTCCACAGGCAGCCCCTGCCCTTACGGAGAACCTGAGCTAGGCCTGGCTTGGTTGTGCAGAGGCTCATGGCCTGTGGGGCGCAGAGTGTGCGCAGGCCAGACTGTCAAGCGTGGGGAGCAGGTGCAGAGGAAAGTGCAGCTCCCGCGCTGCACAGAGGAGCAGTACCAAGTTGTGGGTGCACAGGAAAGGGGCCTGACTCTCCTTGGGGGCTCCCAGGAAGGCTTTCCAGGGAGGTGACCCTGGAGCCAAGGCTCAAGGTGAATTAACTGCCCCCAGAGAAGGCATGCAGTGGAGAATGAAGACAGCAGGACAAGGAGGCCATCACAGCTGCTGGAGCCTGGAGTGGGCAGTGAGCTGAGAAGGAGCCAGGTGGGGATGGGGGACAAAAGAGAGAACAAGAGGGCCGAGGAGCTGTGGGGTTCGGGTGGATGCAGGGCAGAGGCATCTCCCTGGCACCCTGGAATGATGTCGCAGACCTCAGTCACACAGAAAAGGCTTAGTGGGCACAGAGGCTGAGGGCTGCAAAAAGACCTTGGGCCTGAGGGGCCGTGGGGATGGACCAAGCCTCCTCTGGGGTGGAGTGGGGGCCTTACCCAACCCTCACCTCAAGGTTGATCTTTTTCCAAGAGCCTATCTGATAGATGTGAGTTTCTTTATGAAGAAAGAGACAAAAGAGTGACTCTCTAATGGTAGAATCTCAGGCAGGATGGCCTCCAGGCTGCAAATTATGGAGAGGGAGAGTGCTGGGAGATGGCTCCTACTGTATTTCAAAAAAAGAGAGAGTTGCTGCATTACTGGGAGGCAGGGATTCCTGGTTTCTCCAAGGTGGGAAGAGGCTTAACTTACCTCAGCAGAGCCTGGGGCCCAGGGCAGGGCTGGGTATGGGAACTTCTCTGAGGACTTCAGGAGGAGACACCACTGAAACCTCCCACCGCATCTGTGCGGATGAGGCCTCCAAGATGGAACCTGGCTGGCATGACCACAGCCATGGGGACCTGGCCGGAATGGCATCTCAGGATGCCTGAGATTTGTCAGAATTTTGAACTCCTGAAGCAGGACCTTAGGGGGCAGGATGGAGGCACAGGGACAGCAGACCTCGGGTCACCCATCGTACACTGAAAAGGCTCCTGAATTTCTATATTGGGGGCCAGCTGCATTTGGGGTAAGGGGATCAGGAGCCGGTCGGTCTTGAGGCTGCATAGCTAGCAAGGGCCTGGTTTTTAATTAGCTTCTGTTGCTTACTTAGGATGGGGGTTGTAGAGCTGACGGAGTTTTGGGGGTATTAAGCACCCCCTCAAGCCACGCCGTCAGATCCTACTTTCGGGGGAGCCAGAGGCAAAAGACTAGCGGAACAGCCACAGCTCTAGAGGGGGCAGCGCCTGCCGGCGTGCGGACGGCGTCCCGCGGGAGGCGCGTGCCCGGGCCGCAGAGGCCGTCTGGGGGAGCCCTGCCACCGCGCGGAGCCGCGCCGAGGAGGGGCGGCGCTTGGACGGAAGCTCCGCCCAGGCGGCGAGTTTCGAGCCCTCGCGTGGCGTAGGGGCAATTAGGGGCCGTGCCGCCCGCTTCGCTGGGGCTTGCCCAGTAGCCTGGGGCGGGGACGCCACCCCGGGACCTGGCGGGCTGTGCACGCTCACAAAGTGAGGTGTCGCAAAGAGCCCCGACCTCGGTTTTTCCTTTGGAAAGTGGAGCTTCACAGTCCGCGCAAGCGCGGGACAAAAGGTGCAAGGAGTTTTGGTAGCCTCACGTTCGAGGCCTCTGCAAAAGGGGGTCGTCAAATGACTCGAAGAGGCCCGCGGGGCCTGACCGCAGCAGGCGTGGGGCTTTTGTTCGGCGGGGGTTTCCTTTTTTTTGGAGACAGTCTCGCTCTGTTGCCCGGGCTAGAGTGAGTGCCGTGGCGTCAGCCTAGCTCACAGCAACCTCAAACTCCTGGACTCAAGCGATCCTCCTGCCTCAGCCTCCCAAGTAGCTGGGACTACAGGCATGCGCCACCATGCCCGGCTAATTTTTCTCTGTTGTAGAGATGGGGGTCTTGCTAAGTTACTCAGGCTGGCCTTGGACTCCTGGCCTCAAGCGATCCGCCCGCCTCGGCCTGCCAGAGTGCTAGGATTATAGGCGTGAGCCACCGCGCCCGGCCGGCACGGGTTTCGTAACTGAGAAACTATGCTGGCCCGCAGTAAGTCGCACCAAGGGTGCTCAAGGAAAGGGGGATCTCCTCTTCCCCCAGACCTCGGCCCCTCCAGGACCCACTGACGTGGCCCTTTTTCCAAAAACTGCCCTGCGTGCACCGGCGAGCCGGGGCGTGTCGCCACGGCTTTCAAAAAACCCGCACACACAGAGCGAATAATGTGCCGTTTGCTTCTTTCACGCAAGCGGAGTCACGCCCGCCTTCCCGAGCCCCGGCGCACGGACCTCCAATGCCTCTAGCGCCCTCGGGGCCCCCAGGAACAATGCCCATCCTCTCCGCGCGCAGGAAGGAGTTGGCGGACATGGCGGGGTCGGGGCGACAGAGCGGGCCGAGCCCCGCAGCCGGGTGGGGGCTCCACTTTTCGGCTCCGAGCGTCCCGCTGGCCAGGGACAGGAACCTGCCCGGTCAGGGAGCCTGTGTGCGTCGCGACACGGCAGGCGGTTGGCCCGGCCGGGGACGTCCCTTCTGCACTCCCGGAACTAGTCTACACAGCTTCGGCACTGACCGGAGCGGAGACGGCGGTTGCCCCAGAGCCTTCGAGTCGCGGGCTAGAGCGGTCAGGCCTCCGAGACGGGTTGACCCGGGGCTGGCTACGGCTGCGTCACGCGAGGGGGCGGGACCGCCACGGGCGGAGGTCGGAGCCGGAAGCGGAAGAGGCTCTTGGAGCGGGGAGTGGGGCCTAGCAGCCGCCGGAGCCTGGGAGACGGTGAGTGTGGACCGGGACCCGCGGCAGCGGCTGGGGGTGAGTTGGCGGGGCTTGCGCGCTGGTGCCGTCCCCAGGTTCCCGGTTCGGTCTTAGCCTAATTCCCTTTCTTTCTCCGGCACACCTCAGGCCGCGGCCCCGACCTCTCACCCCTGACCCGCCGCTTCTCCCTTTGAAGGCGGTCACTACAGACCCCGACCTCTTGGCTCCGCGGTGTTGAAGGCGAAGCCTGAGCGGCCTCTGAGGCCCCCTCAAGTGTTCAATTTCGGCCCTGCATCTACTCGCGGAATGGGGCTGTGATCCGAAGTGGGATAGCCAGAAAGGGCCTTCAGACTCCTCCCTGTTCTCGGCTCGAGGCTTGGTCTGCAGACTCCTCTTCGTCTCGCGACCTGGAGTTTGATTCTGAACCAGGCTGGCTTTCCAACCCTGCCCTGGGGTCTGACCCTGAGTTTCCCCTCGGTGCCACTGGTGGCGGTTACGGGGGATTGGACTCTTAAAATCCCTGGGACCCGGGGCGGCAGGAAAGGACGCGAATGAAGGCGGCAGGCTCCCTTGCATGTTTCGTTTTGATGATGGAGCCGCTCCAGCCGGGGGGTATGGGCCAGGCCAAACTGACAGTACTGATACCTAGGCTGCTCCTTAGTTCGGCCCTGGAGTCTCTGTGCTTTAGTTCCGGGTGTGGGTTCCGCTGGTGTAGAGCTTGGGTGGGAATTGCTTGAGCCAGGCCCCCATCTAGGCGGAGTTGGCAGCCTTCCAGCTTCCCTCCTCCATGCCCTTGAAAAGGAGGAGTGTTTCACCGTTGGTGGTGGCGCTTTGCGAGGTGGCAGGTTTGAGGTTGCAGTCGTGGGGCACTGCCAGCCAAAAATAACCATGGGGCGCTGGGGTGGCTGGGATCCAGGAGGGCAGCCGCTGCCCTGGCTGGCTGCTCTTCTTGTCAGCCCAGTTCTTCGGCCAGGAACAGCAAATGAGAAGCCGACAAGGTCTGTGCTCAAAGAAAAGTTGGCATCCTTGCCTTGGTTTCTTTCACACTGCTTTTTTCTTCATTGTGCAGAGCAGAGCTTCCCAAAGCATAATTGTGGCCCTTAGCTTCTTTAAACAAGCTGTTTGCTGAGGTTTCAGAGAATCAGAGACTGTTGATGAGAAATGGGCTCTAGAGCCCTGGCTGGGAGGATGACATCTGGTAGTATTTCCAATATTTTACCTGCCTAGAATGTGTTAAAAAGGAGGGATGATCTTCTCTAATATTGCTTTGTGTGTGGTACTTTATAGCTGTCATACTCGTCATCTCCTTTGCCAGGCTGGGAAACATTATCTCCATTTTCCAGACTTGGTAACCAAGGCCTAGCGTGACTTGTCTAAGGTTATGAGGTTAGTAAGTGGCAGCACTGGGATTTAGTTTAGGGTTTTCTGCCAGAGCCCTCTCCTCCCAGGTCTCTTGGAAGGGACTTATAAAATATCCTTAAGGCATTTAATACAGCCCTGAGGTGTTACCTGGAACTTTTTAATGTCAATGGAAAGCTGCCTTTATTATCTCTGGGCACAAATCTGTGCCGGGCATTTGACTTAGAGGAGAGACATACATATATGTGTATTTTTTTTTTTTGAGACAGTCTCACTCTGTTGCCTGGGGTAGGGTGCCGTGGTGTCAGCCTCGCTCACAGCAACCTCAAACTCCTGGGCTTAAGCGATCCTCCTGCCTCAGCCTCCCAAGTAGCTGGGACTACAGGCATGCACCACCATGCCTGGCTAATTTTTTCTATATATTTTTAGTTGGCCAATTAATTTCTATTTTTTTTTTTTTTTTAGACAGAATCTCGCTTTGTTCCCCAGGCTAGAGTGAGTGCCATGGCGTCAGCCTAGCTCACAGTAATCTCAAACTCCTAGGCTCAAGCAATCCTGCTGCATCAGCCTCCTGAGTAGCTGGGACTACAGGCATGCGCCACCATGCCTGGCTAATTTTTTCTATATATATTAGTTGGCCAATTAATTTCTTTCTATTTATAGTAGAGATGGGGTCTTGTTCTTGCTCAGGCTGGTTTCGAACCTCTGACCTTGAGCAATCCGCCTGCCCCGGCCTCCCAGAGTGCTAGGATTACAGGCATGAGCCACGGTCTCCCAAAGTGCTAGGATTATAGGCATGAGCCACTGTACCCGGCCAGGAGAGACATATTTAATCCTCACAGAATCTTGTAAGACACTACTATTCCCTTGTTGCAAGAGGAAACTGAAAGAGTAATTTAATAATTTTCCCAAAGGCACACAGCTAGAAGTGGCATTGCCACAATTTGGATTGGCAGCTGTCTGATTCTGAAGCTGTGCTCTTTCCACTCATGTGAACACGTATGGACATAAGAATCTGCTGGGTCCCAGGAGGGAGTCTTTGGCCTGGTGGGATAGACCATGTCCTCCAGCTCTAGTGTTGTGTCTGTTTAGTAAGGATGGGCAGGACCACACTTGCCTTGTGGGAGGGTACATGCCCTGGCCAATTGAGCGTCTTCTGGGTCAATTAGTGAGATGGGAGATACGGCTTTTAACCCATAGCTTGGGCACCTGACCCAGGGTAATTATAGGAAAACAGTGAAACATTAGTCAGCTGATCATCAAAACAACAAATCTAAGCTCTTGGGAAGGTGTTGGTGCTTTTATATAGTGTTTATCTCCAAGGACTTCACAGGTAGACAGGGGAAGACATCTGGTAGTGAGATTGAGGGCAGTGACCTTTCTTAGGATCACAGAGAAGTGCCCAGGGGTTTGTTCAGATATGCCTGTGTCCTGCTCATCCATGGGGAGCCATTCCATGCTGGACTTCTTCTGACAGACCCTGCTGATGAGATGAGGGAGCCTTGATGGGGTTTGTTCAAAATGTGTTTGGTCAGGCAAGCCCAGGACTGACCATGACTGGAGGCTGGCTATGGTCAAGTGAAGGGTTGGGAAGAAAGCTGCTGTGGAATGGTTCAGCCTTCCTGTGGAGGCAGTGTCAGAAGTTTGGGTCTTCACATAGCTAGCTTTCTCAGCTAGTGGCAAATCCAGCCCAGTAATTTCCTGTGGCGGCTCTAAGTCCCCACTGTATAGGGACAGTGAAGTGGGGCTCTTTTGGCCTGCTAGGCTAGTTCTGAGGGAGGTGTAGGAGAGGGTACTAGAGTAGGGAAGCTAGAAGAGGGGACAGCATGGTTCTGTTGGATAAAGGTGAGGCACCTGGCATAGCACTGCAGAGTGCTCAGTAGGCCTTGGACAAGAAACTTGGGTACTCCAAGGACCCTGGAGTCCTCACTGGTGCTGAGACCAAGTGTGAACCAGCAGGGCCCCTGGGCCCATGTCTACTTGGGTAGACCGTCCGGTGGGCTAGGAAATGTTTATGAGACCCTGCATACCTCTTTCTCCAAGAGCTGGTCTTCTCGTTTCTGCTGTGGCTCCTCATACTGACTGTGGTCCTTACTCCCTTGAGTGGAGTCCACTTCAGGGCCTCAGCTGGGCAGCTTTCAGCTTCTCAAACTTGAGGGCTTTGACCCCTTGCTCCCATGTGTCGGCTCCATGCCAGCAGCCCTTTGGCCCCTGGCTTTACAGAGCATATGCTTCATGGGACCTCCCCTAAGCAGGAGGGAATTGAGCACAGGAGGCTTCCCTTTCTCTGTTTTTAGTCTCCTTGTGACAGTGCCCACCCTCTGCACCCTGTGTCCCTGCCTCAGCACCTAGGCCCTGGCTCACTTATTTCCCTGAATGCTCAGGCTACTAGGCCAGTTGTGCTTTCCTAGGAGGCAGCTGTTTGTTTGTTCACTGGCAGAGAAGGGTGTTACCCATTGTCTGCTGTTTGACCAGTGTGACCTCAGAGTTCTTCACTTCATAAACCCCTGGGAGGGGCTGCCCCCAAACAGAACAATGGGCCTCTTCTTCAGGAGAAACTGGGCTGTCCCACAAAGCCCTGTGGCTGGAGGTGGCTGACTGTGTATTTAGCAGGGCTTTCCATTTCTTGTGGCCTAGATGCATCACTGTAAGCGATACCGCTCCCCTGAGCCAGACCCGTACCTGAGCTACCGATGGAAAAGGAGGAGATCTTATAGTCGGGAACATGAAGGGAGACTACGATACCCGTCCCGAAGGGAGCCTCCCCCCCGGAGATCTCGGTCCAGAAGGTGAGAGGGAACTAGGTGAGAAGGAAGGGCTCCTTCCCTCTGCTGGGCTAGCGAGACTGCCCGGAAGCTGTGGCAGCCCCAAACTCCTTGAGATGATTCCACCCCTGCCCAGCTGCCTTTGGATCCCTGCCTTGTCCCCTTGGGCTCATCCTCTGATCTCACCTGCATGCCCTGGCCTCAGCAGTAGCTACCATCCTTGCTGCCCCTTTTTCTCTGTCCTGGAGTTTTCATTCTTCTTCTACCTACATATGCCCCCATTTTCTAGGTCAGCATCTCTTCTGCGGTCCTTCTGAGCCTTCCTCAGTGAGGATTAGGAACATAACCTCAGCCCTGGAAAGGTTGCTTCTTGGGTCCTATCTCAGCCCCCAGGCCAAAGTTATAGTCGCAGCAGGCCCCATTCTTATGTCCCCCTGCGCCCTTCCTCCTATGGCATTGGAGGGATGCCATCATGAGCCACATCTCCCGAAGAGCAGGCCTCGTACCTTTGCACCTTCCCCTCTCCTGCCCACTTGCCACCGGTCTGAATGCTTGGGCCCATGAGATACTCTCTGTGAGCCCTCTAGCAGGGACCTAGCTGACCAGTGTCCCCATCTCCCTTTTGGCAGCCATGACCGCCTGCCCTACCAGAGGAGATACCGGGAGCGTCGTGACAGTGATGCATACCGGTGTGAAGAACGAAGCCCCTCCTTTGGAGAGGACTGCTATGGATCTTCACGTTCTCGTCATCGCCGGAGGTCACGAGAGAGGGGGCCGTACCGGACCCGCAAGCACGCCCACCACTGCCACAAACGCCGCACCAGGTCTTGTAGCAGCGCCTCCTCGGTGAGTGGTGGCCAGAGTGTGCTGGCTGGGGCTTAAAGGCCTCATCTCTTTCTAGTCTTCTCTCAGGCTGGCTGGTCTGGGTGAGTACTGCCAGCCTTGCGCACACACGTGGTGTGCGTGCGTGTGTGTGTGTATGTGTCGTCTGGTCAAGTTATAGGGCTCAGCAGGGGGTTCCGGCCCCTCTGTCTTCTGGCCCCTTGCCAGTGGCAGCTGTAGGGGCTTTGGCTCCGTCGCTGGCTGACCCCGGCCTGTCTGTGTCTACACACTGCATCAGGCACAGGCCACATGGTGAAGTGGCCGGGGTCACTTCTTAGGTATCCTAGTAGTGTTGCCAGTATGCGGTCTGCAGCTAAAATGGCCTGGTCCTTCCCACCCAGAGGCTGCTCCTGTGTGTAGCCGAATGCTCTGACTGGTGTGGACGGCACCCACCTCTGCAGGCTTATCTCCACACACCTCCCCAAAGGCCCGGAGGCTGTCAAGCCCCACTGGTATGCCCCACGGGGGGGCGGGGGGAGTATTAACCTGTCATTCAGCTCTGACTGGGGAGCTCCCCTTGTGACCCCCAGCCAGGCCCTCTCTAGCTCAGCCTCTTTATGTGAAAGACAGTCATGGAGAAGAGGGTGTATGAAGAAGTGACAGCAATGACAGAAAGGCCCATAGCCCCAGGCTTCCCCTGCCTTGTCCACTTGCAGGACACATGCCAAGGGTGGGGCCTGGCCAGTGTTTCTAGCATGGAGGGTTGTGCAGGTCTCTCTTGAGCCCAGGAGCCCCTGTTGCGCTCAGTCCCCTGAGGAAGGCAAACCAGTTATGTATTTCTGAGGTTATGTGCGGTCTTCTCGTTTCCCCTCATCCCTCCTTCCTGCCTCCCTGCTTCCCTCCTGCCAGCCACGAGGCCCCTGCGGAGCCATGGAGGGCCCAGGCATCTTCTCTACCCAGCTATCTTCTGCGACTTCTTTGAGCGGCCATGGGTTGAGGTTGACTCTGTACAAGCCTGTCCAGCATGGCCTGGTGGCCTCTCTGCATACTGCCACACACTGCCACAGGATGGCACTGCAAATCTGGCTCTGCTTCTTCTCTTTTTGGTGCCCTCTATCGTGAGGCTCAGGATGGGCCTAGGTTGTGAATAGCACAGGCGCCAAGGCCAGGACAGGAGCTGGCATGTGGCCTGTGTGGGCCATTGTGGTAGAAGGCCTGGAGGTCAACCAGCCCAAAGGATCCCAGGCTCCTTCCTGCTGGAGGCTGGTGGCAGGAGGGCTGCTGACGGAAGGCCGTTTCTGGTAGTGATGGTTAAGTCTGGCCAAGATTGCCTTCTGGGGGCAGGTAGCTGCTTGGCTGTGCGTGGCAGCTGTTGGGCATGTGCAAGGCTGCGTGGTGAACAGAGGCAGGCAAGCACAGGCTGGGCGTTCTGCAGCCGAAGCCAGCGTAGCTCTCTGACCAGCCTGGATGGTTGGACCCGGGCTGAGCCAGCTGTCTTCTTGCGCCGTTCTCACTGCATCTTCAGCTCCAGCCGAAGCCACCACGGGAGGGCTCGGGAGGGGGAGACTTGGAGGAGGAGAGAGTCAGGGCTGTGGCTCTCTCACCACCCGGCCCCTCAGCAGCAGAGGCTGGTCATCTTTCTGAGCATTTGCGGCGCTCCTCTTATAGATAATGTCCGAGTTTTCTTTACGTACCTGTAGCTGTTTTTACTTTTCTGTTTTTGAAGTCAGTTTGTGTCTTGACGTGTCCCTTGCAATATCCCTATCGTTATATATGCTGTGTGCCTTATGAAATGCTGGGATCTGGAAAATCCAACCAACCAACCAACCCACCGGCTCCTCACCGTCTCCACCTCTGCCTTTGACTGACACCTCAATCTGTCAATCGGAACCGCCTACCATGCGATTGGTCGGATGGCGTTTCGGGGGGCGGTGCATGCAGAGAAGCCAACAGAGCAGTAAGCGCAGCAGCCGAAGTGTGGAAGATGACAAGGAGGGCCACCTGGTGTGCCGGATCGGCGATTGGCTCCAAGAGCGATGTACAGCCACCTTTCGTAAAACTTTACCTCTCTACTTTCTACCCCCCTTGTTAGACAAGACCTCTCCTGCCTGGAGGGGCCTCTAGTGCGCGTGGCGCCTTAGTGGGGCCACCAGTAATTGCCTGAATGACGCAGACGCTAGCAACTTCTGTTTTTAAGAGTGTAGCAGTGAGAGAGAAACCTTTTTTGTTTCTGAGAATTTGAATGCTGTGAACTTGCAGGAGCTGCCGCCCCCCTGCCCTCCAGACTCTTATGCCCAACTTCTTTTCTCTCCTAGATGAGATCGTGGGGAACCTGGGTGAAGGCACCTTTGGCAAGGTGGTTGAGTGCTTGGACCATGCCAGGTGAGGGGCTGGGCAGTACAGCTGGCTCTGGATGTGATCTTCCTGGGATGGGTAGCCTGTGGTTCTCGAGGGCTATGGCTGTCGGAGCTTAACTTTCTTCTTTTTGAAGGGTAGCACCAAAGTAGGGGTCTGACCTGCACACATCGGGGTTTTGCTGATCCCCCAAAATAAGGGAGAAAATCTTGGGGTTCTGAAGGCATGTGGCATCCCTACCCAAGAACTGGTCAGCGAATGGTTCTGCCCCAATTTCTCCACTTTTCTAAGGCTGCGATAGTGGATATCAGAACAGGGCCCAGGCCTTGGCTCCTCTGTGCTTGGAGTTGCTTCCTGTGATCTCTTTTAGATTCTTGGCTTGGCAAGGGGTTGGGAGTGCCACTAAGTCCAGCCCAAGCATGAGCCCTCACCCCCTGGGGGGCCTTGCAGGTCCTAGTTGAGAGAAATAAGACCCTGGGCTTTCTCACCAAGCAGGCCACTGTTTCTCCAGTGTGGCTAGGGTAGCATGTTTTCCCTGCTGAGTGTGCTTAGGAAGACTGGGTATTTGCCTGTGTGTCCTGCTGCTGGGGGCACCTTGCTCCCTCCCAGGCCTAACAGTGTAACACTTTGTCCCCTTACCATTCCTCACGACTACAACCCCTGCTTCCTCCTGTAGCTCTGGGTTGGGGAGACTGCCTCCTGGGAGCCAACTGTCTCTCTGCCTTAATGGCCCTCTAACTGGCTTGGCACTTTAGCTTCAAAGTGCTTGTGTCTTCATTTTGAGTCAGGTGCCACCCATGTATGGCTCTCTCGATTTTAGAGATGAATAAATCTGCTCAGGGTTTGCCTAAATCCACTGTTGATGGCGGAGCTGGTAGAAGGCCTGGAGGTCCACTGTACTGTAGTGCTTCCACATTGAGAAGAGTGATCAGAAAGGACAGTCATACCTGGAGTCCAGCCATCCCTGTGGCCACAAGATAAGGCGGCAGCAGTGACTGAGAGGAAGCTTCTCTTTGCTCCTAGTTCCCATTTAAACACCCCTCAGACCCAGTGTGGCACAAGAGGTTAGGGCTGGGACCAATGGGTAGAAGGACACGTACAGACTATGCTGTGACCAGATGGAGATATGGCAGATCTGACAGCTATAATGCGTGAGGTCAGAATTGAACCATCTGGGGTGTGCTACTCTGAGTAGCTAGAGGGAAAATGAGCCTCTGAAGTCACTAAGGGGCAGGCACAAGGTCCAGGGAACTTTCAGGGGACTCAGGGCTAGTGGGGGGAGGTGGTTATGCAGAGGCAGAATTCAGCTCACTAAAAGGAAGGGCCTTACTCTCAGAGCCATATAGTCCTTGTAGGGGTGGCCTTTGGAAGTGGCGAGCTCCCTGTGTTGACGATTGGAGTGCCACGGAGAGATCCTGTTCTAGGAGGAGGCTGGAGTATGTAATTTTTCCTCTGAGCTTCTTTCCTGCTTTGAGAATCTGGGGAAATGGGTTGTGGAGTAATATCCTCTAGAAGATGGCCTTTGCTCTGCAGCCTGTGGGTCTTTCCTTGGGCACCAAGGCCATCCTCTCTGAGGTCTCAGAGGACGTATCTTTGTGGGCCAAAGCTCTGAACACTAGTTCCACACTGAACATCTCAATTCTAGCTGTCCCTTCCTGACAGCCTGGCAGCCTCAGCAGCAGGTTTCCTTTCTCTGCTCACACCCTGCAGATGGCCTCCTGGGATGGGGTTCGGGGTGTGAAGTACAGAGTAGGGACTGTTAAAATCTTCATTGGACACTTAAAGGTTCCTGGCACTCTGTGGTCACTGATAAATGCTGTGGCAGGTAGGTGGGCCTGAAGAGGAGTGTGGTAAAGAAATTGGCCCTGGGCCTTACAGTGAGAGCACCCCATTGCTGGCACCCTTACCTCTTGCCAGACCATCCCTCCATCCTGAAACCCTCCCCCCACCCCCAAGGGGAACTGTTTGCTCAGACTTGAAGATGACATGCTCGGGAAGGTCAAGAGGTGCTGCGGGAGGATTCTGAGTGTAGCAGCATTGCCAGGGTCAGGGCTGACTGGCCTAAAGGTTAGGTTACTGTGTAATTTCCTGGGCTGGCGCCAGCCAGCAAAATTAGCCTCTGCTCTGCCCACACTATCCCTGGGAGCTGGCAGTGGGTGAGAACACAGAAGCCTAAGGCTGGCATGGAGGCTGAGAGCATTAAGTCACATTTGCCAGGGAGCTCGCTATTGGGTGGAAGGGGTCTGATGTTGCATGGGGCAGGCTGGGCATAAAGTATCTCCTCTCTCCAGTGCAGGCCATTCCTGGAGCAGTGCTTGTTGGGAGTTGCTGGGTTGGGGAGGAGGGTGGGAGAAGGGCTGGGCCTCTGCTGATGAGAACCTTTGCTTCCTTCCTGGGTACCAGAGGGAAGTCTCAGGTTGCCCTGAAGATCATCCGCAATGTGGGCAAGTACCGGGAGGCTGCCCGACTAGAAATCAATGTTCTCAAAAAAATCAAGGAGAAGGACAAAGAGAACAAGTTGTGAGTGTCTGCAAGGAGTGGGAGGGAAGCCTTTTGTGGAGACAGAGTCCTTCAGCCCCGACTGGCCCCCCAGTGGCTTAGCAGTATCCCATCACCTGCTCGGCACTGTGCCTTCTCTACACTCAGGCAGGGGTCTGGCAAGCAAGTCTTGCTGGAAGGAGCCTTTGGACTTGAGTCCAGGCTCTACGCCAACTGGTGCTGTGTTCTGAGCCACACCTACTAGCCCTACATTTGTGAATTGGGGACCTCACTGGGTTGTGGTGGGCACGTGAGGCTGTCCAGGACTCTCACACAGTAGAAGACATCCAAAGGAGGGGCCTTTCTTTGGCAAACACACTGAGCACTTTCCCCCAAGGACCGTGCTGAGCACGGGCAGATGGGTGAATCCAGCACCCTCGTGAAGCTCAGTAGAGCGTGTGCGTTGAGAAAGCAACACTAGTCCATCTCTTCCTCGGCAACTCTGAGGCAAGGCTTCTCCCCACACCCTAAATAGGGAGGAGGCCTTGAGAACTCGGCCAGAACCCTGTCCTCCATCCACTCCACCTCCGTGCAGGAAGTTCATTCCTTGCCTAGAGATCATCTGGGTGATGGCTGGTGGGGAGATGTGTCCTTGCTCTGATTCTCTTTCTTCATGTGTATCTGTGTCCTGGTGTTATGACCCAGTTGCCTAGGAGAGAATGGGGACTGGCTTCACCTGAAAGGGGGTGAGAGAGGCCCCCAGCACAGAGCCTGAGCCCTACCCATCCTTCTCCCTCAGCCTGTGCGTCTTGATGTCTGACTGGTTCAACTTCCATGGTCACATGTGCATCGCCTTTGAGCTTCTGGGCAAGAACACCTTTGAGTTCCTGAAGGAGAATAATTTCCAGCCTTACCCCCTACCACACGTGCGGCACATGGCCTACCAGCTCTGCCACGCCCTTAGATGTAAGTGTCTACCCTCACATGGAGCACGGGGTGGCCACACCCTGCAGCACAGTCATCTGGTCGTCTTGCTCTCCATTCACTCTAGCATATTGCTAACTACTCTGTTGGCCCTCAGAGGTACCTGACCCCCTTTGGCTGAAAGGCCTTCTGTCTTCAGGTAGGAATCTCAGTGTGAGGATGGGAAGGCTAAAATCCCATCCAGGGACTTCCAAGGCTAGTTTTGCCCCAGGTAACCAGGAAGAAAAAAGGAAAAAGCTGCTGTAGAATTGGCCCAGCTACCAACCCTGCCTCCCCACTTCATACATAGCATAAAAAGGTAGCCTGACCTGACAGATTCCACTGCATGGAGACCCTGTCTCCCCATTGCTCCCTGTCTGCCTGCCAGCCTTGAATACCTGGTGGTGCCAGTGCTCAGCACTGTAGGGTTTGTGATGGTTCGAGTGGTACAGAAAGGCTCCTTAGAGAGGTCAGTATACCTAGAGCCAGAATGTGTAGGATCTGGACAGATGGAGCCGGGCAGGCATTCCAAGCAAGAACAGTTCAGTGAAGGCCTAGAGCCTGGCATGTGCTGAGACTCACTCTAGTGGAGGGAGGGCTCACACTGGGAAGTGGTGGGCCACACCTTTGTGAGGCTCTTGAATACCAGATGGGAGCATTGACCCTGAAAGTGACAAGTAGCAGGAAGCTACTGTCGGTAAGATGGGCTGCTCAGGGCTAGTGACAAGAGGCAGGTAGTTCTGGCTTCCTGGGTGTGTGACTTGTAGAGTCAGTCACATAGAACCCTATGCTTGATTTTGTGCTGTTGCCACCACCTTAACATTCTTAGTATTTTTTAAACCAGGGGACGTGCATTTTTCATTTTGCAATGGGCTTTGTTTTCCATAACTGGTGTTGGGGAGAGGGAGCCACCCCAAGGCTGTTGCTGTAGCTTTGGTGAGAGACAGGTGAGGAGGCCTGGTTTCTGCAGAGGAGGTAGAGGGAGGTTTTTTGAATGGAAAAGGTCTTCCCCCTCTAAGGCCTCAAGAATGGGAACCCTTGAGAGGGAAGCCAGGAGAAAGGCAGGACGAAGCCCAGCTCCCTGCTTAGATTGGGGGGTGTTGCTGGCTTTGGAGGCAGGGTCTGGCCTACAGCTGGCAGCAGCTGGCGAGTAAGCGCAGGTTTTCAGTGTCTCCTTCCCTGCCTCCCTAGTTCTGCATGAGAACCAGCTGACCCACACAGACTTAAAGCCAGAGAACATCCTATTTGTGAATTCCGAGTTTGAAACCCTCTACAATGAGCACAAGGTACTGACGGGGTGAGGGTGAAGCCCTGTTCCTGGGGTGGGTTACCTGATGGGACAGACTCCTGACCTCTCTTACCTGTCTTGCCCTTCAGAGTTGTGAGGAGAAGTCAGTTAAGAACACCAGCATCCGAGTGGCTGACTTCGGTAGTGCCACCTTTGACCATGAGCATCACACGACCATTGTGGCCACTCGTCACTATCGCCCACCTGAGGTGATCCTTGGTGAGCTTCTGATAGTCCCTGGCCTTGTTACTCCAGACAGTTGTTGGGGGGGTATGAACAGAAGCGGCGTGCCCGTCAGTTTGCCACCCAGGGCAGTCAGAACATCTCAGATGAAGGGGCCAGTGTCATGAGACACTAAGGGTGCTGACTTGGCTTTGTCAGTCAGCCTTACTGAGAGAGGGCCTTGTACTGGGGCAAGAGTCCTGCCAGCCAGCGTGGCTGCTGCCCTGTGATCTCCAGGCGAGGTGCACAGAACTGGATCTCACAGCCTCTCCGTCTTGGTTTTCAGAGCTGGGCTGGGCACAGCCTTGCGACGTTTGGAGTATCGGCTGCATTCTCTTCGAGTACTACCGGGGCTTCACACTCTTCCAGGTACAGTCCCCACACTGCTCCCCTGCCCTGAGCATTGCCACTCTGGGGTAGGAAGCCCCATGGCTGAAGAGACAGGTATCTTCTACCTTGTCACTTGTCAGGTTGTAAGATTCAGACTCTCAAGGGTTGTAGATGCTCGGGAAGAAGGCAGAGAGGTCTGCATAGCTGGCATCAAGGATGAAGGTGCAGGAGGAAGCGTTTTAGGCAGGGGATATAGCATGAGTGAGGGCATGGGAATAGCTGGAACATTTTCTGGGGAGAGTGGAGCTAACCAGAGAGGTGTGCAGTCAAGGCCAAGTCTACCTGAAGTGCTGAGGAGTGTGATCTTGTTTCTGAGAGAACAGGCTGGCAAGCTGCCACCAGGTTGGAGAGGCTGGGACTGCTATTCCATTGGTAGTTTGCATCTCCTGGGGCAGCAAGGGCATTTGCCCCTCTCTTTCATCCCGTATTCTCCCTGAGGGGTGAGGCTGGCACTGTCCCTTACTTGCTCTGCCCTTGATCTTCCACAGACCCATGAAAACCGAGAGCATTTGGTGATGATGGAGAAAATCCTAGGGCCCATCCCATCACACATGATCCACCGCACCAGGTAAGGACCCTGGTAGCTCCTTCAGGGCTGACATAGGAAACTTTCCCTTCTCGGCTGGGTGTTAACAGGGTACTGGATACAGAATAGAAAGTTCTTGCCAGACATTCATGGCTCCCCCGTGCTCCTAACAGCCTTCCCTGTACACCCTGGCTTTGCTGCCAGTCCCTAGACTGCCACTGTCTTGAATCTGGCTGGAGCTGCTCTTCCTCACGTCCCACCAGAGGCTGTGTCTCCCTACCACTCCCACAACCTGACTCCCACTCCTCTCACCCCACATTTTCAGGAAGCAGAAATATTTCTACAAAGGGGGCCTGGTTTGGGATGAGAACAGCTCTGACGGCCGGTATGTGAAGGAGAACTGCAAACCTCTGAAGGTCAGTTTCTGGCTTCCCCCAGCTCAACTCATGCCAAGGAGACCCCAGGCACTGGGCAGACACACAGCAGAGAGACAGGCCAGGCAGCTAAAGGCTGCCTCCTCGTTCCAGCTCTGTGGGAGGCAGCACCCAAGACTGGGGGCTGGCAGTTGGGCTTCTTGCAAACTGCCCCAGAGGGGCTCTTAGCCCTACCCCTTCCCCATGGGGTGGCTATGAATGTAATTGGGGAACACCAGAAGAGCCTGCTGCTTCCTGTCCCACCCTCTTCTCTCAATTTTGGGAAGAACTAGGCAGGACTGAGGTGAGGGGGAGGGAAGACCTAGCGATGGCCAGGAAGCCTCTGTCAACTGCATTTGGTGCTCAGACAAGTGAATTTCGCAGAGGTGATCTCTACCCACCTGTCAGGACTTTGCATGTGGGGCAGAGGCACCAACCCAGCAAGACACCTAGTAGCCTGACAAGTTCCGAGCAAAACGTTAAACACGGGCATGAAAAGAAAGGAGCTGCTCACTGTCTGTCCAGGAGGGCGGAAGTAGAGTCCTCCAAGGAGGCATCACTGCCTCCTCAGCCCAGTCCAGCAAGGCGTCCCAGAGGCAAAGGGACCTGCTGTGGCTTCCCCACGACCCCGCCATCACACTGAGGCACCTTGTGTCCCTGAGCAGAGTTACATGCTCCAGGACACTCTGGAGCACGTGCAGCTGTTTGACCTGATGAGGAGGATGTTAGAATTTGACCCTGCCCAGCGCATCACACTGGCCGAGGCCCTGCTGCACCCCTTCTTTGCTGGCTTGACCCCTGAGGAGCGGTCCTTCCACAGCAGCCGCAACCCAAGCAGATGACAGGTGCAGGCCACCCTGCAAGGAGATGGAGAGCGGGACTGGGCTGTCCAGCCCCTTTTCTCCAGCCTCTACCACCGGCCCCAGGGCCAGAGCCACCCAACGAACAGTGCAATGTGAAGGAAGGCAGGAGCCTGCAGGGGAGGAGACTTGGTGCCCAGCTGCCAGAAAGCACAGATTTGACCCAAGCTATTTATATGTTGTAAAGTTATAATAAAGTGTTTCTTACTGTTTGTAACCCCTGGTACCAGTGTGTCCGTCTCCAGGCTCCCTGCCTTCTCCCTTCCCTGACCTCATTAATAAAGTCTTTCTTAGCAGTTCAGCTTGTGGAGAGCTAAGTGTGAACTGGGCCAGGCACAGAAGAGCTAGCCAGTGGGAAGACCAGAAGTGGGACATCTCTCGGCCCAAAAGGAGAGCAGTCCAGCCCCGAGGTGGGGCTGAGATGGCAGGCTGTTGAGCAGTCCTAGATGACACCTGAGCCTTATCCTGTACCCCTGCCCTGCTGGCTCCTGTACTTCACAGCCCCAAAGAACCTAAGGGAAATAGCCCACTGCAGCTAGCCAGGCAGAATCTGGTTTTCCCTGCCCTGCCAGCCCTGTCACTGGCTGGGCCTATCCATAACCAACAGCTATAGCCAACTGAGGGCAAGTGGATGACTGGGGCAGGTTCCTACAGTTGGGGGAGGCAGGACCTCATCAGCCTGCAGAGCAATTCACCACAGAGCACAGAACTCAGTCGTTCAGCTTTATTTTAGTGCTGGTTTTGGGTTTCCCGAAGAGCTGCATGAGATAGGCTTGCTATCTGATTGGGGCTCCCTGGGGACTGGGCACTCTAGGCAGGATGCCTCCGAAAAGAGCTGCAGATAGAGGAATCATGCTTATTTTTAATGCCTGTGGGGAAGACCCAGGCTAAGGGCAAGGAGAGGCCCCAATGCCACCTGGGGAGAGAGAGGATGGAGAGAGACTTGGGCACAAAGTCCCAGTGGCCCCTCAATAAAGTCATCACCCCCAGGGCCCCAACAACTCACTGGAACCACCAGCCAGACTTCTTCCATCATTTCCCATTGTGCCTAATCAGGGGGCCAGACTGCATTCTCAGGCAGCCAGAACCTGTTGCCTACTAAAATGCCTGTTAGGCTGCTCCTCAGGTTGTGGCCTTGTCCCTGAAGAGGGGACCCCAGCTTGGGTGCTGCTTGGCCCTGAGAGGGAGGAGACACAGCATGAAGCTCACAGTCCCAGCCGCCCCCCACTGCTGGAGACATTTAACACTGGAGAGGGGAAGGGTGGGGCCAGCCCTCTCTGCCCTGCCTCATCTGCTCCTGGCTATGCTCCTACAAGAAAAGTGATAAGCAGCCTGAAACCTATGGCGCCAGGGCCTACCCTGTGTCCACAGTCCTGGTGCGCCCCCTACTCCTCACCCCCTCAACCAGTGGGTGGGCACAGCAGAAGGAAGCCTGAAGCCCTGGAAAAGGCTTAAGCACAAATCCTTTGCAAGGGTCCCTGCCAGGGTTCCAGGCATGGCTCCTGCTCCATGAGCTTCTGGGGCTTACGCCTGGGAAGGTCCTGGTCTTGGCACCGTAGGACGTGAGCAGTAGTATGTTCCTATGGCGGAGACCTGCTAGCTAGCTCATCCTGAACTAGCCTCATTTTGGCATCTTTTGAGACAGGGCACTGGCCCCAAGCTGACTCAACTAGAGTGGACACCCATAAAAGCTTCAAAGCCCAGATGTTGTAAGAACTGGGATGGAGCCCGGGCAAGGGAGGGACATGCACCCTGCTCTGGGATGACAGCTGCAGAAGGCTGTTGCAGGGTAAGGGCAGAGGGAGCAGAAAAGTGGGGTATGTCTATGCAGGCAAGGAGATGGGGGAGTGGTGGCCTAGGACCGAAGCACCAGGGAGCCTCTTCTGGCTCAGCACCAGGCTCCCCCAGGGGCCTCCCCAATATTGAACATTACAGCTGCACTCTGAGGGGTCTGGCCCAGACTAGGCAAAGGCTCAGCCCCAGCTGGGGGTTAGGGGGCACTGCTGGCAAGATGGGCACTGTGGTTCTACAGTAACATTAACATACTACCTGTGCTGAAGATGACAGAAGAGAATATAAAACCCCGATACAGTAACACCATCCTGATGCCACCCCCTTCACTACCTCTGAATGATGGAAAGTAAAGAAGGGACAGACCCTTGGAAAAATCCCAGCAAAACATGGATCAGCTCAGGAGAAAGGGTTAAAAGCCTCCAAATCAACTTGGGTTAGGGTGGCCCTAGTCTGTCACAGCTCATAAAATGAAAGGAGCACACAGGTCTGGCCTCTAGTGGACAGCGGCCAGGCAGCCGGTCTACATGATTAGTGGAAGGGCTGTGCAGCAGCAGGTAAGCAGGGGAGTCACAAGCCACAAGCTCTGACATAGAGGGATGGGACCTGGCCCACCCCCAAGGTGCTCGCCCAGGCCCAGTGGCTGTAAACCTAAAACACGGTCAGAGAGCTGCCTATGTCTGTAAACAAAGGCCCACCTGGCTGCACAGGGGACCGAGGAGACACTGCACACTTGGCTGCCACCCTGCCCTGCACACACTATGGGAAAGCCTTCCCTGGCTAAGGGCAGGTGACAGGTCAGTTTTAGGTAAGTAAGTTCTGTTCTATCACAGAAGAAACAAACCCAAAAGAGAAAAAGTTTAACAAGGTCCATGAAACTTCACATCCTTAAGGCGTTCGTCATCAGGTTCAGTGTCAGGAGCAGCAGGGACTGCAGGATCCAGCCTGCCCAGGGCCCACTAGGCAGAGTGCAGTGGGATGACAAACTTGCAGCCAAAGGGTGAGTGGTAGTTGATGCCCACCTCCTGGAAGACCTGCTGGGGAATGCCAATGTCGCACAAATAGATGCGGCCTGCGTGCTCCCCCAGTGGCAGAGGCAGGCCCAGTGCCAGTGACCATTTGGCATCAATGCCCTGTTCAACTTCATGCACAGGAGGATCTATGCTGAGTACTGGAGCCCGGTTCTGGTTGGCCCAGGCCACAGCTGCCTTGTACCAGGGCTGATCCCGCAGGAAGGCGTTCTCGGGGCAATCCAGGCAGTTGATGACCAGGTCCACAGGGCTAGTGGGCAGATCTGCAGGTGGAAAGAGTGCCATCTGAACATCCCTATAAGCAGAAAGCAGCCCAGGCTGGGACTAGAGCCCAGGTGGCCCCAAGAATGCTGTTTTCTAGAAAACACTCCAAACGCTGGTCTTCTCAAGGCTGGGTGAGGACAGAGGCCCTGAGAGTTCCAAGGCCTAGTTAGGCTGGGTGTTAAAGACCAAGGCCACGTCAGCCTGACAAACCACTGCCTTCTGGGAGCTCCCAGGCCGAAGCACTGTCCTGCTAAGTGTGCAGAGCTTCTCTGGGCACAAAGCCCTCACCTCTTCTGCCTCTCTAGGCAAGTCTTTGTATATTTGACTAGTGCCCCAAATACATTACGAGCTCTGGGAAGAGAGAGTCCACTGCCAAGTCACCCTCACAGGGAAGTCGTGCTAAGGGCTCAGCAAAAATGGGAGCTGACTGCTATTTGTTGACTGACCCAAGAAGGGTGAGCAAGTGAGAACAAACCTGCTTATTCTACTCCAGACTAGCTTACTCATTCTACTCTAGCCTGCCTGCCCTCCTCTCTGGCCTTTTTCATTCTGTCATAGGAATAGGTCCTCCACTCAGCCCTACCTTAAGAATGAGGAGGAAAGCTATCACTGTTCTCCCAGATATTTAAAAAGGCTCCTCTGCCCTAACCAGGCTTCTGGGACAGTATAAGAACAGGATGCCTCAACCAGTATGTATATCTTGGACTGGCCTAAGAGGTTAAACTGACCTCTTGAAGTGATAGCAGAAATCAACTCAAGGGTTGCCATTCTCAGACCTGTCTCCTGGAGGGATTGGGATAGGAAGCTTTCTGGGCAGCCAGGGGAAGAACTGCCTGGAATGGGACATCATGTTCAAGATTTCACGATGGGGAACCCACACCAGGCCCCCTCCCAGCTCTAGGCCTAGAGCAATGTCATTTCTCAACTAAAGACCCATGTCTTCCCTACTTAGAACATGTCACTATGGGAGTCCCTGTGGGCCATGAGGAGAGACTTGGGCACAAGTCAAGAATGAGACTGGTGTCCTATCTTATCTTCTGGGTGCCTACAGGAGCTTGGCCCAAGACTTAGGAAACTGATCTAGGCTCTGTCCCTGACTTGCCATCTGACCTCTGGCAAGGCCCTCTCTCTGGGCCATATTTGCTCTCTCCAATTCTTCTCCCCACTTTCTCACTTAAACCCACTGTAGTCAGACTTTGCCCCCACCACTTCACTTGGAACTGCTCTTGCCGAGCTCACCAGGGGCCTCCAAAAGGCTAATGCAGTGGTCGACTGCCAGTCTTCCTTTGGGCTTAACCTAGAGTGGGGCTTGAGACGCAGGTGGCGCTCCTCTCTTCACTTGGCTTTCAACTACCGTGCTCTCCTGGTTTTCCTTCTCCCTCACTGACCATTCCTGCCCTGTGTCTCCTAGGCTGGTTTCTCCCCTCCTTTACTTCTAAACAAAGAGCCCAAAGAGCTCAGTCTTCCAACTTCTCTTTTTCTTTTGTTAAACAACCAATGTAACAGTTGTTGTTTTGTTTTTTTTAATGGACAGTTTCTTGTTATGTTGCCCAGGCTGGAGTCAAACTCCTGTGCTCAAGCAATCTTACCATCTCAGTTTCTCCAGTAGCTGGGACTATAGGCACATGCCACCATGCCCAGCTCCCAACTTCTCTCTCTTCCTAGGTGATATATCCAGGCTTATCATGGCTTAAATATTACCTACAATTGTAACTCCAGGTAAGAGCCCTTCACTTAACTCCAGGTGCGTATCACTCCTGCCCAATCAGCTTCTCCCCCTGTATACCCAATAGACGTCCCAAATTGCATTTCTGCTCTCCCTCCCCAAACCTTCTCCTCTACTAAGTCTCCCTGTCTCGGTGACTGCACCTCAGTTCCTTAGGCCAAAACCCTTGGAATCATTCTTTTCTTGTTTTGTTTTTGTTTTTTTTTTTGGTGGGGAAGGGGAGGGGGAGACTCGGTCTCACTCTGTTGCCCAGGCTGGAACAGTGATGTGATCACAGCTCACTGTAACCTCAAACTCCAGGGCTCAAGTGATCTGACCACTTCAGCCTCCCAAGTAGCTGTGACTTTAGGCACGCACCACCACCATGCTCAGTTTGTAATGTTTTCTCTTTTTTAGAAACAGAGTCTCACTCTGTTGCCTGGGCTAGTGTGCCGTGGTATCAGTCTAGCTCACAGCAACCTCAAACTCCTGGGCTCAAGCAATCCTACTGCCTCAGCCTCCCAAGTAGCTGGGACTATAACCATGCGCCACCATGTCCGGCTAATTTTTTGTATATATATTGGTAGTTATCCAGCTAATTTCTATTTTTTCAGTAGAGATTTGAGTGTCCCAAAGCACTAGGATTACAGGTATGAGCCACCGTGCCTGGCCAGCCATTCTTAACTCTTTTTTTTTTGAGACAGAGTCTCGCTTTGTTGCCCAGGCTAGTTAGTGTGCCGTGGTATCAGTCTAGCTCACAGCAACCTCAAACTCCTGGGCTCAAGCAATCCTCCTGCCTCAGCCTCCCGAGTAGCTGGGACTACAGGCATGCGCCACCATGCCCGGCTAATTTTTTCTATATATATTAGTTGGCCAATTAATTTCTTTCTATTTATAGTAGAGACGGGGTCTCGCTCTTGCTCAGGCTGGTCTCAAACTCCTGACCTTGAGCAATCCGCCCACCTCGGCCACCCAGAGTGCTAGGATTACAGGCGTGAGCCACCACACCTGGCCCATTCTTATCTCTTCTCCTTTACCCTCTACATCCAATCTGTGGATTCCATCTTTCAAATTCATTCAGAAACTAACCATTTTTAGCACCTCTGCCACTATCACTGTGTCTTAGCTACCATCATCTTTCTCTCCAATGAACAGAACAGCATCTTAACACCTCTTTGTTCTCTTAGAGTTCACTCTCAAACAGATCCAGAATGATTGTTGGGAACCTAAGCTGGATGATATCAATCCTCTACTTATTCCTCCAATGACTCTCCATCTTATCCACAATGAAAGCCCAAACCCTTTAAGCGATCCACACAGCCCTTCACGACCCAGCCCTGAGATGTCCAGGTCTCCTCCTTCCTGCCCAACCCCCTTCTATCTCCCTTCTCTGCTTTATTTTTCTTCATAACACTTACTACCGTCTGATGTAATAAGTTCCTTATTTGTGTGTTCATCTCTCCTAACCAGAATATACACTCTATGGAAGAATGGATTTGAAAAAAAATCCATTGCCATATCCCAAGCATCAGGAACAGTGCTTGTTCCATAAATGTTTGTAAAATGAATAAACGGGTCTCCAGCTCTTCATCTGAGTAATGGGAGAGGGAGAAGGGGAAGGAGATGGGAAGTAGGCACATCAACACCAAGTATATCACAAGAGGCAGATTATTATCCTTATACACGTGGTGCCTTTCCACATGTCACCATTGGGTGGCACCACCAAACCATCAAACTACCAAGAAGGGAAGAAACCTTCAGCCTCCCTCTTTGTTAAATGCTCACCTTTGAGGCTAGACACTTGTTGGCCTTGGGTCTTGCTGAAGAGTGACAGCTCATTGGTGATGGACTCCAGCATCTTGACAAAGTTGGGCAGGAAGAGGATGACCTGGACATCATGGTTGGCTAGGTGCCTTCCACAGCTGATGCCCTGAGCTCCCTTCACATGGGGCCCACATAGTAGGGCTACTGTAGGTCTCTGGTGAACATTTTTGGGATTCAACCTAGAGCAGAAGGTAAAGCAGCATTATCAGCTACAGACTTTTCAATCCCTGGCACCCCCTACCAGACAACTGCCTGTAGGTACCTGCTGCTCTCAGAGCTCTCTTCCCCTGCTCACCAGGTCCCAGGCTCCAGAAGGGGCCAAAATACACTGCAGGCCAGGTCTGCAGAGTGGCATGCCCACTGTCTGCATCACTTCATTGCCGGGTCCTCTCGCTAGGCAGTTCAGAACAAGCCAGATCTTGTTCCATACAACACTTGCCAGAACACTGTTTCCTGACCCATAAACATATAATGGTTCCTCCCTGTGTGACCTATTAGGTCCAAATTCTGTTTGGCAAAGAGGTTTTGCCACCTCTGCAGCCTTTTTGGCTCTTCTTCCCCAACACGTCTGCTCTACCCAGCAAGGCTGGCCTCATCCTCTCCTGTACTTGTAAGGCTTTTTCCCTGCTTATGCTCAGACTAGGGCCCCTGCCCAGAAGCCCTTCATTTTCCAAACTCTGACTTGCCTTTTCTTGGAGGTCCAGTTTCAGGCTTCCGTCTTCTGCGATTACTCTAGCTCCCATTCTTACCTTTTCTCAACTCCTAATAAACTCACAGCAAGTACCAGTTCAGGCTCATTCTCAATTTTCCTCAATCAGTTGCCAACTCTTTACTGAGCTTATTGGCTTACTAATACTAATAAGCAGTGTTATAGATATTAATAGTACCTATTTCATAGGATGCCATGTGAATTACTGGAGAGACAGTAGTGCCCACCATGTAGGAAGCGTTCAATCGATCCCAAACATCGAGGAAGCAGAGGCTAGGGGCTACCCACTCTCCTAGGCTGGCAACTGCCTTAGATGAAGTCATTTCCAGTTTTCAAAGCTGAGACTCTTATGGCCTCAGAGAAGCCACAAAGTACGGTGGTGTGGAGGATTAGCCCTGGAGCTCTGCCCAACTCACAGGCAACACAGTTGGCTCACAAGGCAGCAGTATAGAGAAGAGACAGACAGCAAGGCTGTAGGTCCCTGCTTAGGGGCAGAGCAATGACAGTCACTGATTTCACAAAGAAACAAAGAAGACAGATACTGTCAAGCCAAAGAGGAGCTTCATAACTGCCTCCTTCCCAAACAAATTTTGGGGAATTAGCAATGTACTCTACACACAGACACCAAACCATTCATTTTCCCCACTACTTTTACATCTAAAAGAAATATGGTAGGTACTTCGCCCTTCAACAGATGCTGTGGTTCTGGCATCTGACTTACCCTGTTTCCTAAGTGGGCTCTCCCTCTCACGGAGGAACACCACCCACTCCATCAGAACAATCAAAGCAGAGCACAGCATGCACACCCCAGCAGCAACAGGCAGAGTACAGGAAACAGACCTCTCCAGAGTAGAGACCCAGCTTTACCATGTTCTAGCAGTGTCAAATGGGAAAGCAGCATCAAATGCTCATCTTTTCTTTTTTTTCTTCGAGACAGAGTCTCGCTTTGTTACACAGGCTACAGCGAGTGCTGTGGCATCATCCTAGCTCACAGCAACCTCAAACTCCTGGGCTCAAGTGATCCTCCTGCCTCAGCCTCCTGAGCAGCTGGGACTACAGGTGCAAGCCACCACATCCGGCTAATTTTTTCTATATATTTTTAGTTGTTTGGCTAATTTCTTTCTATTTATAGTAGAGACAGGGTCTCACCTCAAGCGATCCTCCTGCCTCGGCCTCCCAGAGTGCTAGGACAACAGGCTCCAATGCTCATCTTAAAACATGGAGCTGTTATTTATCTGTATGTATGTATGTATGTATGTATGTATTTATTTTTGAGACAGAGTCTCGCTTTGTTGCCCAGGCTAGAGTGAGTGCCATGGCATCAGCCTAGCTCACAGCAACCTCAAACTCCTGGGCTCAAGCAATCCTTCTGCCTCAGCCTCCCTTGTAGCTGGGACTACAGGCATGCACCACCATGCCCGGCTAATTTTTTCTATATATATTAGTTGGCCAATTAATTTCTTTCTATTTTTAGTAGAGACGGGGTCTTGCTCTTGCTCAGGCTGGTTTCAAACTCCTGACCTTGAGCGATCCTCCCGCCTCGGCCTCCCAGGGTGCTAGGATTACAGGCATGAGCCACCACGCCCGGCCCTGTTTATCTTTGAGGTGAAGCTTTGAGGATCACATTAAATTCTGTTTGTGAAAGCCATGTGAAAAATGGCATGCCACTTGACATACGTTAAACTTCAAGGTTACTAACTATAGGTTTGATTTCTCAAAGCAAAACTAGCTACTGCTGCAAAGGACAGGAGATCAGATGCTAAGAGAAAAGACAGTCACATGTACGGCCAAAACCAAGGAGCTGGCTAGAGGGGAAAGTGACTTGGTGAGAACATTCAGCCCCCTTGCCCCAAAATTACTGTTTCGGAGAGCCACTTAATGGCTCTAATACCCACAGAGGGGCTCATTCCAGGAGCTGCTCCCACAGCTGCTCCAGGAGGAGGGCAGCAGATGCCATCCCCAAGGGCCTGATGCCCCTTCAGAGGGCACCTCACCCCACTCCCTCCTTTAGGCATCTCCACTGGCTCTTCCCTGGCATGGCAGAGGCCAGGGATCCCACACAGCTGGGAAGCAGGCTTAAATCAAGGGCCAAGGGCGAGTGAACAACACCCCCCAGCTCAAATGGGAAAGGGAGGTAGAGGAGCAGGGAGGGGAGATCTCACACCCAGCTTGGATCAAACATGCTTTAATCAATATCACTTCGGAATCAGGCGCTGCCTCCCATGCAAACACAGCATCCCCAGGCCCCAAGAATGGAAAGAGACTAGAGTGAGGAGCTGTGAGGCTTATCCACAATATCAGTATTCTGGCAAGGACCCCCAAATGCCATGGCTGGAAACACAAGCCAAGGATAGGCTTCCATTTCCCAAAAAGGAAAAGGGCTCTGTAGGAAGCAACATCCTGTCGTGTGAGGCTCCAGATCTGTAAGTGCTGCTCAGGGAAATGAAGCTTTCCTTGCTATGCTAAACCGAGGTCCACCCTGCTCCTTGGTAGCCACCTCATCCCTCAAGACACCACTCTCCCCTAAGGTTACCCATGTCCTCTTCCTTTTTATTCACAAATCCAACAGATACCTGTCAATTCTAATTTTGCTTTATCTCAATCTCTCTGAAGTACCACTGCTAATCATTCCTTTTTTCTGTGAATACTATTTCCTTGGTTCCTACACACTACTCTCTTGCTTTTCTCATCTCTCTAGCTCTCTTCCTCATCCTCATAACTGTGCCTTAAATGCTGGTGTTCCCCAGAAGCGCACCCTAGGTCCTTTCACATCTTTCTCCTTTGAAGATCTCATCTATTCTTACACCATCTACAAGGAGACAATGCCCAAATACCTAGCTTTAGCTCAGACCCTTTCCTGAACTTCAAATCTATATAGCTAACAGTCTATTTGGATATCTCACAGGGATTCTAAACTCAACGCATCCAAAACTGCCACCTTCCCTATCACAGTGAATGTTATCACCATCCAACCAGGTGTCCAAGCTGGAAAGCTTGAAGGTCAGTGATCACCGACATTCCACTTTCCATCACCTCCAACACCCATTTGATTACCTTGCCCTGCTGAATTTACCTTAAAAAACAAAACAAAACAAAACAACCCTCATACGTCCACTTTTCCGAACCCTACTCAGCTGGGTGGGCTACCATCATCTGGGCCCTGGCTCAATTTTCTAACTGTTGCAGTTTTCTAACTAGTCCCACTGCCTTCAGTCTTGCCTCCATTCAGTCAACTGTCCACACTTTAGCTGAAGTCATCTTTTTAAGTACAAGACCAGTCATGTCGCAGCCTGACAGAAATCCCTGCAGCAGCTCCCTGCTGCTCAGCTGTACCAAGGCCCTACTTTCTAGCCATGAAGAATGACTTACAGATTCCCAGCAGTTCCGTGGTCTTTCATTCTCTTTGCCCTGGGCACCTGCCACTCCCTATACCCAGAATACTTTTCCGTTTTCTTCCCTGCCCCTGTTAATTGCCCCGTGTTCTTCAGGACTCTAATTGGATGCCACTGCTGCTCTAGGAAGGGGACTGGGGTAGACATATGGCTCCCTAGAGAATTTCCTGTTTCCTCTGCAATAGCAGTGTGCTATCTGGTGACCCCCATGAGGCTGCTAAAAGGCAGGAACAGTATTTTATTCTTCTTTGTACCCTCAGTGTCTAACATACGGTTTGGTACAAGGTATCAATAAATGTCTACAAATAAAATAAAGCACTACTCCTGATGTATGAGCCCAAGGGGCAGGTGGGAAGGTGCCAAACCCCAGCTCCCCTACCTAGTTATCAGGGTGGTTCTAGAAGTTCTTAGGTATGAAGCTCAGGATTCATTTGCATCCTAGCCACCTAAAGTAAATGACAAGTGCCAAAGGCCAGGTCTCTGAAGGCTCCTAGATGGAAGGCCTCTGATAGTTAACAAGAGTCTCAAAGCCAGGCAGCTGCTGTTAGGAAAGAAAGGGTCAAAGGGTGGCTTGTTGGGAGAAGAATGAGGACTTCCAGGAGATGAATAAGGAGGGGCAAACAAAGACGTCCAGGAAAGTGACTTCAGAGAGACCCTCAAATTAGATGAGTAGCCCTAGCACTCTGGGAGGCCAGGGCTCGAGGTCAGGAGTTTGAAACCAGCCTAAGCATGAGCAAGACCTCGTCTCTACTATAAATAGAAAGAAATTAATTGACCAATTAATATATAAAGAAAAAATTAGCCGGGCATGGTGGCGCATGCCTGTAGTCCCAACTACTTGGGAGGCTGAGGCAGTAGGATTGCTTGAGCCCAGGAGTTTGAGGTTGCTGTGAGCTAGGCTGACGCCACGGCACTCACTCTAGCCTGGGCAACAAAGCGAGGCTCTGTCTCAAAAAAAAAAAATTAGACGAGTAGCGACTGTCTAATGAAGTCTCCCGTGTGTATGCAAGGCATGGAGGTAGCGCCTAGGCAGAGCATCCTCACTCTACACTCAGCCCCTGCCAGTTAAAGGCATTTACCTGTTGGGTCCTCCAAGGAGGGTCAGTGCCATCTGACTGGCACACACACCTGTCATCTCCAGTCTCCGCTCCAGGGTCAGTCCGTGCTTCTCAGCCACGGATAGCAGCTTTTTATGCAGCTCATAGGAAACACTTGGGACAACCAGGCCAGAGTCTGTGGTTCAAAAGGTGGAGAAAGAAAGGGAAAGTGATTATGGGAAACAAGGTTAAAAATGAGTGTACTCAATCCAGAATTGTGTGAATGCCCACATTTTAAGACTGATCCTCCCCTGGCCTATCCTCTTTGTCTTGTGTGGCTAAGGCATGCTCTGCAGCCCTCCAGAGCTCAAGTAGTAAGTGGTGAACTGAATAACAACTTGTTCCAGGTCACCACAGAGCAGAGACGAACTTAAGCTCCCTCAGCAGTTTAGCTTTAGACTATAAAGGCCAAATCCACCATGATACATCCATCACGAACTATGGAGAAACGGCCTGCACGCAGCACATAACAGCAACTCATACACTATGTTAGAAGAGTGCGTGCTTTCCCCACGTGGAGAAGTGCAGATCTGGGCAGTGGGCTTTCCTCATGAGCAGGCTCCTCATCCTTCCTGAAAAGCGGAACAGACACCAGCTAACCCTCTGACCCCCTGGCCCCTGCTGTTCTGGTCAAACTCAGGGCAGGATGACTTGCTGGTTGCATCTGCTCCCTACTTTCTCTTCCTTCTCTCTTCTATTTATATCTTCCTCTTTGCTTGAGAAATTCAGCTAGCAACTTGTTTTCTCAAATAATTTCTCCCCATTTGAGGTGGGTATAACCCAATACACCATAGGGAAAGAGCATATGGAAAGTAACCTATGGCTTTAAACTACTCAGAATCTAGAACATTTTTTATTCACCACAAAAAAAGACAACTCTATAAAGGCTGGGGAGAATTACTGTCACTAAAAGTACATCAGGCCGGGCGAGGTGGCTCACGCCTGTAATCCTAGCTCTCTGGGAGGCCGAGACGGGCAGATTGCTCGAGGTCAGTAGTTCAAAACCAGCCTGAGCAAGACCCTGTCTCTACTAAAAATAAAAAGAAGTTAATTGGCCAACTAAAAATACATAGAAAAAATTAGCCAGGCATGGTGGCATGTGCCAAGTCCCAGCTACTTGGGAGGCTGAGACAGGAGGATCGCCTGAGCCCAGGAGTTTGAGGTTGCTGTGAGCTAGGCTGATGCCATGGCACTCACTCTAGCCTGGGCAACAAAGTGAGACTCTGTCTCAAAAAAAAAAAAGTACATCGTGGAAAAAAATAACAAAGAAAAACAAAAATAACAACAAAAAAGAAAGACAAAACAACAAAAAAAGTACACCATGGAAAGTACCTGGTTTTTTAAACTCAAAGCCAAAGTCTGCTGTGGCTGGTATACTTGAAGAAGTCTATAGTACTGTGCTTCCTCGAAAATAAGACCACCCATAAAATAAGCCCTAGCAGGATTTCTAAGCATTTGCGCAATATAAGCCCTACCCCGAAAATAAGACCTAGTGATGGGCGTGGCTACGCAGCGCATCTGCACAACCCGTGCATTTCATTGTGGAGCAGTAAAGACGATAAGCAGCCCTTCTCATCTGCCTTATCGTGACAGCTACTATCCCAGAAGTGACCAGAAAGGTGCGGGCAGCCCCACCAACAAGGTCAGCTCCCCCTGTCAGGTCCTGGCCATCCTGTGCGTGCCGCAAGCTGAGGCTTTGAGGGGAAAGTCTCCTCAGTGAAGTGAGGAGCTGGACGCTCCGCTTTAGGTACTGTGTGTCCCCAGGGAGAAGGAGGAAAGCTGTGGCTGCCATTTTACTCAGTGCCGTGGGCCTCTCTCACTCCCCACAGACACCAGGGGATAGAGGAAAAGCTTCAGCAAGCAGTCTCCTACTGAGCCCAGAGAGATCATTTCTGCTCCACCAATCTGCTTCTGTGCAGACTAGACCCAGTGCTCACTGGATCTCTGATAAATAAGCCAGCCCTGCTCATTTAATGAAAGCTCTATTGCTCGACATGAGAGATTGGGGCCAATGGTTCTAAAGGAAATAGAGTCGCAAGAAATTCAGGATGGAATTTGGGGTTTGGAGAGTTATGATGATGTTCCAGGAGAAGACGACTTAACTACATTCGAATAAATGTAGATTGTTGTACTGTACTTAAAAACAAGACAAGAAAGAAACAGCAAACTCAAAAATTGTGATCTGCAATGGACTACTCTTGCCTTGACAAGGTCTTCCTCCCTTCAAGATGCCAATGCCACCTTACAAATGCCCAGGCCACTGGGCTGGCCACAGGGGAGCATACCCTTTGTCAAAGAGCCCCATCTAGCTTCACTGGGTGATGGACCAACAAACACAAAGCCATTATGGGATTGCATGTAACTAGTTCTGTCTGGCTGGATCAGATGCCCTTTTAGATCCTGTGTCCTCAACTCTACTGGACTATAAATTCCTTGAGACAGGGAAATACATCTTGTATTTCTTTTTTTCTTTTTTGAGGCAGAGTCTTACTGCTGCCCTGCATAGAGTGCCGTGGCATCATCCTAGCTCACAGCAACCTCAAACTCCTGGCCTCAAGCCATCCTTCTGCTTCAGCTTCCCAAGTATCTGAGACTACAGGCTCACACCACCACACCCAGCTATTTTTTTCTATTTTTAGTAGAGATGGGGTCTCCGTCTTGCTCAGGCTGGTCTCAAACTCCTGAGCTCAAGCAATCCTTCCTCCTCGGCCTCCCAGAGTGCTAGGATTACAGGCATGAGCCACCATGCCCGGTCACACATCTTGTATTTCTTTAGCTCTTGCTTGCTCAACTTGTTCCAGCTACAATTATCAACACAGGTGAGTTCTCATCAGGTAATCAAATATATAAATGGTATAAATCTAGTGCTATTTCTGGCCTGGCCTAACTGTAAGATAGAAGTTTTCAGTAAATTCATTATCATTCCATTATTCTAGTGTCCTACAGTGAAAAAAACTTTCTTCCTCACTGGTATTCATGAGAAATCTCTTGAGAGTCTATCAAGCATCCAGTCTTGCCTGCATAGATTCTTAAAACCACACAGAATATGGCTACAGCTTTATGTTTCAACAATAGGAAATCAAGTAAAAAGACTGAACCTATAGCACACAGGTCTATATCCTCTCAAGGGAAGATTGATGACGATAAAAAATGTTTAACATATCAAAATAAACAGTATCCTGTGGGTTAACAGAGCCCCTTTACTTGCCCAAGTCCTATTCCTGTCTTGGGCAGAGACAACAAACAGAGCCACTAGATGCACTCAGTCTCTCTTCCACCTCTTTCTGAAATGCCAGTCATTGATGTCCCAGGTGCCAATGCTGTAGGCTACTGCCTGACCTTGCATGTCAACAGCTGATTAAAACAGCCATTTTTATGGCCTGCTTCAGACACACATATTATCAGAACTAATTAAGCTGAACAGTTCTCAAGAGTTCCATGCCACTAACAACCCCAAACCCGTCAAACAAGTCACGCACCTGCTTATTTCAAACACCCTCTTTACCTGCAAAGTCACGCAAGGGAAAGCTTTCACTCAAGTCTATGCATTTTTTCACCTATTTATCAGTATTCTTTCTGTTGGATTTGAAATGCATCAGGGCAGTGAGTCTTGGGCCTGCTACTCCACAAATCAAGTTTGCTTTTTGGGTCTGACTCTTGTGCTATGTATACAGGCAGACAGCTCCCTCTGGTTCTGAGGGCTCTCTCGGAGCAGGCAGAAGCATTTTCTGCTAGCTTTCCCCTCAAAGTCCTTAGGGGTACAAAACTCATGGTATAGGGAGAGGAGAGATCACCCCGTCCTGGCTGGCTAGATGCTTCAGCTGAAAATAGTATGGCTCTTACCATCCCCTCACTGATCTGTGTTGGGGGACAGGGCACCATTGATCAACTGGCATATTTCTGTAGTCTAGTGAAAGACAAGGCCAAGACCCTGTCTGCTCAGAGTCTGGCAGTTGCAGGGTCTAGGACTCCACTGTACTCTACCCTGATTGCTTCTCTGAAAGGAACATGCAAGCACCATAAAATATTCCTTTTAAACATTTATACACAAAGTCCAACCAGTTAGACTGGCTTATCAGAAACAGGCAGAGGGAATAAAATAAACTCCAAAGGAAGGGAACCAAGAACATTGCGTGTAAATGACAAACAATAACATTGCAAAAGCCTGAACATGGGCCAAGCCTAATTATGTTTGGGTTGGAAGGTGAATCTTTATTGTTCAGAATCAAGACAGTAAAATCAGTTAGGGTTTCTTTGAATATTAATATGTATTTTACAGCTGTTGGTAAAACAAGGGAGACATAATTATAACCAGTTTGTGACATGCCGAGTACTTCTTTTTTTTTTTTTTTGAGACAGTCTCACTTTGTTGCCCAGGCTAGAGTGCGTGCCGTGGTGTCAGCCTGGCTCACAGCAACCTCAATCTCCGGGGCTCAGCGATCCTACTGCCTCAGCCTCCCGAGTAGCTGGGACTACAGGCATGCGCCACCATGCCCGGCTAATTTTTTGTATATATATTTTTAGTTGGTCAATTAATTTATTTCTATTTTTGGTAGAGATGGGGTCTCGCTCAGGCTGGTTTCGAACTCCTGACCTTGAGCAATCCGCCCTCCTCGGCCTCCCAAAGTGCTAGGATTACAGGCGTGAGCCACAACGCCCGGCCCAAGTACTTCTTATGATCTGACTTAACCTTAGAGTATCAAGGAAAATGACTCAAGCACACTCACCACGGGCCAGGAAAGAAGAGTCCTCCCTGCAAAACTGGCCTCCACCGCATGAGGCTGTGGTGGTCTCTTCAGGCCATGGAACCCAGTTGCCTAGCGCCACATGTGCCTGCTGCAGTCTGCCCCTTGTCATGTCCTCATTTTTGCGCTGCTCATTCCACACACCTATTTTAGGGCTTTCTCTCCCTTACGGACACATATGCATGCTCTTACACCTTCCATCACACTTCCCACCCTCAGACACCCTTTAGCACCATGTCATGTCCAAGCTTTCTCTCTCCTTCCAACAGCCCCCAACAAAGTGCCATCTCAGATCAACTCAATCCTCTCACTGACGTGGCCCTTCAACTGGAAAGGCCGTGTGTCTCATGTCTTATCAGTGAGGAACACAGCTCATTAGCAGGCATGAGAT